ACACACACACACACACTTATTTTCTCCTTGCTTCCTGCTCCCTCTCCTCTAGGATTTGGGGATCAGGGAGGGAGAGAAAGGGTGAGTAGTAGCCATCTTTACTGGTCATAATAGGTCACAACCATGATGGGAAAAAAGATAGCATCAGTGTTAAGCCTGAGATTCATGACAGACTCTTTACTAGCAGAGGCCTCAAGATGGGGAAATAGGAGATTGGGGGGCAGAGCCACCACAAGTAACACAGGGTATGATGCAGGGAAGATGCAAGTCCCCACTCTGCCCCTGACTGTGAATGAGGACATGCTGCTTACCTCTGTGTTCTCGTAGTACTGGTCTGTTCACTTCCCAGGGGCTGACGTAGACACTGGGAGATAACCCTCCTCCTTCCAGCCATGCCTATTTGCCTGGACCTTCTCTACCCACTCACTGTGTCGTTGCTGGACTTACAGGTCCTGCCCTGTCATTTATTGGACTTTGGCTCCTGACTTACAGACTTCCTCCACCTCATGCCCTCTGCGATCCTTCCAAATGACATCACCAACCACACAGACAGTGACCCAGCTGTACCCTGACCTCCCAGTTCCTTGGGTGCCCTGCTTTCAACAGCCACCCCACCCCTTGTCTTACTCTGCCCTTGTCATCACTTGGAACTGCTTCTCTTCCAAACTAGCAAACTCCTGGTGTCCCCAGCTCCTCACCTCCAGCTTTGTGGTTCAGTTGTTCCCACAACCCCTGCTTACTCTTCTCATCCGCCCATGTCCTTTGCTACCTTCCAGTTCAGTCATCCTGTTTTGTCTTGACTTGTCTTCTATACCCTCCCTAGATCCACAGTTTACCATTCAATAACATTTTTGTGCCAGGAGTGTGGTTCACTCCTGTAATCCCACTACTTGGGAGGCTAAGGCAGGAGGATTTTGAGTTTGAGGCCAGCCTGGGCTACATAGTGAGACCCTGTCTCAAAAATTTTTTTTTTGTTTTTCGCTCATACCCCAAATTCCTTGGCTCCTTGGCTCCGATCACCTCAGCCCTGAGGAAGCTGGGCACATGCTTTTTCTGCATTCATGTCCAAACAGCCATGGTGGCAGTTGAAAAGTCAGAGCAGGGAAGACTAGATTCTTAAAAAAATCCTTATCTCCAGCCACTAAGTGTCTTCAGCCCCCACAAAATCCTCTGGTTTCCAATGTCAACTTCTTCCCACTTTCCATAATGATTTCCAACCTTCACCTCTAAATCCCCTCCCATCCCCAGACCTCAGGAGAGGTCTTTGCTTCCTGCCTGCCAGAGAAGATAACAACCACCAGGCAGGAAGTCCCTCAGCCTCCAGTACCAAGAAAATAAACTCCCCCACAAGCCTTGCTTTCCTTTCTCCTGTGCCACGGGAGGGGCTGCCTTTGGGGGCCAAGTTTCACGCACCCTGTGAGCCCCTCCTCTCAGGAATCTTCCTGTGTTGGCCAATTAGCCCTTCCTCTCAACTGAGTCCTTTCTGTGTCTTTAAATATATTGAGAAAGAGAGGGAGAGAGAGAGAGAGAGAGAGGGGGAGAGAGAGAAAATATATTGAGAAAGAGAGGGAGAGGGGGGGAGAGAGAGGGGGAGAGAGAGAGAGAGAAGGTGGAGGAGGAGGAGATGGGGGAGAAGGGAGGGATGGAGGGATGGATGGAGGAAGGCAGAAAGAGAAAACTCCTCATGTACCTCCAGCTATCACCCTACTGCCCCTCCCTTTCAACTTCTCAAAATTGCTGCCTGTGACTCCATTTCTTTCATCTCTTTACTTTTCTTGGTCATTCTGGGCTGCTGTAAGAAACCACCTTAAACTGGAGGTGCAGCTTATAAACAATAGAAACTTGTTTCTCACAGTTCTGGGGCCAGAAGAGATACCTGGTGAGGGTCCTCTTCCTGGTTCATAGAGGGCACCTTCTTCCATTGTGTCTTCATACGATTGAAGGGCAAAAGAACTCCCTTGGGCCTCTTTTATGAGGGCACTAATTCCATTCAGGAAGCTCTGCCCTCATGACCTAATCACCTCCCAAAAGATTTGACCTTCTAATATTACCATTTTAAGGAGTTAGGATTTCAACATATGAATCTGCGGTGGACACCACTGTGCTTTCCATCCATTTTCAACCCATTCCTGTCTGGATTTGCATCCCTCTGAGTCACCACCAAGAGCACAAATAGCCTGATTAGTGACATTTTAATTGGATTCTCTCCTAATCTTGCAGCAGGTTACCATCGTCACCACCTCTCCTTAACCACCCTTCTGTGGCTTTGGGGACACCTGCTGCTTTTCTCCTGCCTCTCTGGCCATTTCTTTGTGGCCTCCTTTGCAGATTCTTCTTCTACACTGTCCATTGGAGCTTGGGGTCTTGAGACTTCTTGCTGTCTACCTTCTCCCTGGCTCATTTTGTTCATACCCATTGCATTAAATACCAATTGCAAATAATACATAAACTTTCATCCAGGTCTACATATGTACCTGCCACTTGACAGCACGCCTGGGATGTCAAAGAAGCCCCACATTCACAGGCCCTCAAACTCATGACCTCTCCAACCCTCTTCTTCTTCCACCATACTATTACCTAGAGAGCCTCCCGATCCTCTCTCCCTCACTCTCCATATCCCACGTATTACCAGGTCTTGAGTTTCTCTCAAATCCCCCAATCTTCTCCATTATCACCATGCCCACTTTCCCCAGTCCAAGCTAGCTCTAGTGTGATTGTCTCCTCCGTGACACATGGCACACTATTCTGGACCCATCCCAAGTCCTTGCCAGTCTACACAGCCAGGGCATCTTTGCAAAATGCATCAATTACACCATTCTCCCTCAAATTTGTCAATGGCTTCCCACTGGTCTTAGGGTAAACACAGCTTCCTAACAAGGGCTTGAGAACCTAGATGGCTTGATACTCCACTCAGCTGTGTAATGGGTTCTGAGTCATCCGGTCTAATTTACCGTCTGACTCTGTCATTTATTGTCCAGGTGACTTTGGACAAGTTATCTTCTGAACACTCTTGTATTTGAGTGTCCTCATCTGTGAAATGGAGTAACAATGGTACTGCTTCATGTGGTTATTGTGAGAATAAAAATAGTGCCTGGTGCATGACAAGCATTCAATAAATGCTAGCTCTTGTTAGCCTCACTTCTCTCTCCCATTCATTTCTTAGTTGTAGAAAGTGCTGGCTTTCTTTGGGTCCTTTTTCTCACCACACCCTCTCTCTCCTTTGTACATATTCCTCTTGAGACTCCATTGCTTTCCCTCTTCAGCTGTTCACTGCCTGTGTATTTGTCAGGTCACAACTTAAGTGTGACTTCCTTGGGAAAACCCTGTGGAGGTCCCTTACAGGTGATAGCCATTGCCACTATTGTATATTTATTTACTTATTTTTATTCATTTCTTTATTTTGGTGTTGGGGTGGTCGTGATAATCTCTCCCGCAAGATGGTAGTAAGCCCCACAAGTGTAGAAACTGTGTTTACTTCTGTCACCTTTGTAACTCCAGCATCTAGCGATGCTCCTGGCATAATAACGGCTCAGTGAATATTTGCTAAAGAATGTAAAAGGATTGAAAGTGCCCTAGAGCTGCCAGTGATGCTTAATCAATTTCATTCAATCTGATGAGGTACTCCTTTGGGAAGTTCTAGAAAGTGCTTCCCTGTCCCCAAATAATTCTGCCATTGCCTATCATGGTGTTTGAAAATTCACCAAGAAGGCCTATCGTTTGAAAGGGTGTTACCACTGAGGTCAAAACACCTTCCTTAGCATGAGACCAGCAACAGAAATTAGCTCCTGTCATTGTCTTTACTGCCCACCAAACGCAAAAGCAGCACCAGAAGGAACAGAACACAGAATGCTGGACTAGCCAGATCTGACCTCAGGCCCGTCCAGCCATCTGATTCATGGTACAAATGTGGACACAGAGGCCCAGAAAAGGGATGAGAGGTGTCCAACTTCAATGTTACAGAGCAAGTTCATGGTAGAAGAAAGATTAGAACCCGGGACCCTGACAACTAGCTCAGGGCTCTTTTTTGCCCATTGCAGAACATTAAGCCTCATCATGGGCAAGAGGCAGATACCTCATATGTACATAACACAGCTGCAAGGGCAGTGGAGGTCTTGCTCCTGGAGAAGGCCTGAGGGCCATGCAGTGAGAGCCCACAGCAGAAAGCAGTCTGTTTCAGGTGGAAACAGAGTTTGTTTCACAGAAGAGGTGGGGAGACTTGAAGTGGGCTCTGAAAATGATCAGGAAGAAGCCCAGAGAGGGCATTTTAGGGTAAATAAACAGCACCCACTTGGGATTTAGGGGTCAGGCATGTGTTTGGAGAGCTGCAGAGAGACCAGCCAAAAGAGAGGGCCAGCAGGAGGAAGATGAGCTGAAAGACCAGCTACCCTAATCCCTTCTGCATAAGCCTCCCCAGATCTTGAGAAACTCCCTTCTCTCTCTCCATCAATAACTCCATGGAGGATGAACTGCCAACCCCACCCAGTTCTCTGCACCAAAGAGTTAGACCTGGAGCTGCTTCTCCCTCTAAAGCACAAGCCAGGAAGATTTACTCTTGTTTCAGATGAGAAATGAGATAGGTCTGGGTGGAGCCAGGAAGGGCAAAGGCAAGGTCAATACAATGGACGCAGATTCAGGGCATAGGGTTTGGACTGAGGGTTGGAACCTTCTTCCCTGATCAGTGCTAGTCATCATCAGTCACTGTCCACTCTGGGGATTGCAGGGCCAGGCCAGGGGAGTCTGACATCATTGGGTACAGTGGGGCTTCCCACAGCCCCCTCCTCCAGCCACTCTGTTCCACATGTGAGATCCGGTTACCCTTCAACCACCTAAGCATTGGGTCCCACAGTGGGATTTATTGTTGGCTGCCCTGCCATCTGCCCCAGAATAATAAATCAGGGCAGAGCAGAATCACAGCCATCCAAGTGTGCAATATATAAATGAAGGGCTCAGGGAGCCACTAGGCTTCACTGGACCCCACAGAGCCGAGACCAAGCAGCAGCATGGACAGGTGGGACAGAATGCCTTGCTGGGGACTCTTGCTGGTACTCTGGGGCTCCTGCACCTTCGCTCTTCCCACAGACACGGCCGCTTTCCGAAGGTAACTTGGGTAGAGAAGGGAGAGAAGGGTAGCAGGGATACAGGGGTTTCCCAATTCTTGACACCCCCAGTTTTCAGATATGTGGGATCAAATAGTCCTAATGATCATCCAGTCAGGGAGGTATGGTCCTGTTCAGAGAGGTCAAGTGTCACACAGCCAATAAATAAATGGCCTTAGGCTGGTCTGGAAACCATCTCTTTTGATCACTACCCACAGCATGATTCTAGGTATTGTGGAAAACTCAGAGACAATTAAAACATGCCCTGTCTCCCCAAGGAGATAGCAGTCTAATTACTAAGAAAGGCATGGGTGCCGTGAACCGCCAGGTAAGCAGCAAGATATAGCAGTTAAATGTATCTTCTGGAGTCATATTGGTTTAAATTCTGTTCCCCTAGCAGAAGGAGCTAGCTCTGGAACCATTGCTAAGCTAACCTCTCCAAGTTTCAGTGCACCAATTTTAAAGCAGGGATAATAACAGAACCTACTTCCTAGGCTGCTTTGAAGATTTAGTGAGATAATGTGTGTAAAGCTGTGAGCATCACACCAGTGTGTTATAAGATCCCAGCTGCTGTTCCAACCACAAAGTGGATTATCATCCATGTTAAACAAAAGGCTTACAGCAGCCCCAAGCAGGGAGGAGAAAGCCCTGACCTCCATGGGGTGCCAGGCCTGTGCAAACAAGCATTTCTGTAAGATTGGAGAAAAGGAGGAGGCAGGTCTAGAAGAGGGCCTCCCAGAGAAAGGGTGCAAAAGGGTGCTTAGTTTAGGGACTGCAGGAAATTTGGAGACCTGCAAAACTCCTAAAGGTAAGAGGGAGGGCAGGTTTCAATAGCAGGAAAATTTGCTCAGCCTATAAAATGCTTAGGATTTCACAGTCTTTCTGCGTGTCCATCCCAAATTATGCCCCAACAATTCAACTTCACCATTTTACAAATGAGAACACTGAGTCTTGGGGAGGACTCAGAAGACGCCCAGAGAGGTTAGGTAATGTTCAGAATCACACAGCAGCAAGGAGACCCAACCACGTTCGCCACAATCAGCATGTGACACCACCCCCATAGACTGTACAGTGCTGGCTGTGAATACCCAGAGGAAATGGAGCAGGAGCCCAGGAATCCCAGGAAGTCCAGGAAGAGGGAGGCCAGTGTGGGCTGGAGTCCTTGGGGCAAGCTTCCATGTGGGGTACATGCCAAGACTTTAAGGATTACAGAACTAGAGGGCAGAAGGAAGGGGAGAAGGAAGGGATTTTCTAAAGGGGAAATGGCAACGAGATCCAAAGCAAAAACCATTTGCAGTGGAAAAGGCACCTTTGACCTTCTTTGGGGTTAAACCTTCCCTGACCTTCTGTTTCCCTATCTGTAAAATGAGGATAAGAAAAGCACCCATTTTGTGGGATGATTGAAGATAAAAATAAAAATATAATTGTGCAACTATTTTGTGAACAGTTAGCTAGGATAGGACTCTTAATTCATTTCTGCTACAATATTACGCAGCTAGGTGCAGAAAGTTACTTTAGGTTCCTGGGCAAATGAAAGGAGGATGTGTGGGTCACATGAAGTGTGGGAAGGAAAGGATTGTGCAAGGTCAGGAGAACTAGCTGCTGAGAAGACAGAGGGCATCTCTGTGGGTCTGGGAAAGTCCACTGCAGAGTGAAGTCAAGCTTGATCCTTGGGATCCCTGACCAACAGCTGGGGAGACTTCCTCCAGGCTGTTGCAAATGGTTTTTATGTGGGAAGCCCAGGAGAGTGTATGGGAAAGGGGACCAGAAGCAAGCCTTAAATCACGCCTTTATTATGTCTGAGTCACTTTCACCCGCTGAGAGCCTTCATTTTGTCATCTGTAACACAGGACAGCTAGTTTACAAAGTTTTTGTGCATTTTGCCTAGTTGGGTGCTAACCATCACACACAAAGCTCATTATACACGAGTTTCTAGTCTCTTCAGTTCTGCCTGGCAAAGGTGATGGGAAGGTGTCAGGATCAGAGGCTGAGAGACTTAGGACCAAGACACATCTTTCCAATGGCGAGGTGCATGAGTACTCTGGAGATGCTGACCTCTGTCCAGCCCAGTTCAGTTGGTCCACTCCACACAACCCTAGCTCAGTGTTTGCCCCCAAGGGTCCTGGAGCCCCTGCAGGCTGCTGTGGGAATCTACTGCCACCTACAGGTCCCACATGGCACTGCCTTCCCCTTTCAGCTAGGAGGAGGCACTGCCAATCTTCATCTCCCTAGAGATATCACTCACTTTGTTTCCTGTTTGTCTCCCTGCCTGCTGGAGTTACTAAAAGGCAGTGATAGGGCCAGGTGTGGTGTTACATGCCTGTAAAATCCCAGCTACTCAGGAGGCAGAGGTAGGAGGATCATGGTCTGAGGTTTGCCTGGGCAAAAGTATGAGACCCTATCTGAAAAACAAACTAAAGCAAAAAGAGCTAGGGGCATGGCTCAAGTGATAGAGCGCCTGCCTAGCAAGCATGAGGTCTTGAGTTCAAATCCTGTATCACCAAGGCAGCAATGAATTTTATTTCTGTATCCAGCTCAGTGAGGGACAGAGGAGGTATTCGATACAAGATCGGGGATGTATAGATGGATAAATAAAGGAACAAGTAACCTGTCTGATCAAAATGGGACAATGGCAAGAAGTTAGGTGACAATTATTTAGCACCAGAGAAGGATTGTCCTTGTTCCTTACAAGTCCTAGGGCACAAGTGGTTCTTAGGTGCTTAGACTAATGTTAGCAGTAGATATGCTAAAAGCAGGGAACTCTGAACTGTGCCAATACTGGGGGGAGTACAGGATGCTGCTGTTTATTCTTCCTCCACCTTGGGCCAGGATTTTCCTCAAGAAAACGCCCTCAGTCCGGGACAGCCTCAAGGAGAGGGGAGTGGACATGGCCAGGCTTGATGCTGAGTGGAGCCAGGTCACCAAGAGGCTCTTCTTCGGTAACACCACCTCCCCCGTAGTTCTTACCAACTATCTGGACGTGAGTACCTGGTTCCACTACTTGCCCCCTCCCTGTGTCCTTTCTTACTGGGACCTAAGCCTTCTTTACTTGCAAGGCCCACTCTGCCATACTGTTTGAGAACCACAGCCCCTGAGTACCCTGCAAAACTCCCACCTTATAGCTAGAAAGCCTGAGGCATTGGGCGGTGGGGTGTGGGAGGACCCAGGAAGGAGCCCAGAGACCAGTCAAAGGCAGAATTAGGTTGGAACCTGGGCCTAGGCCTCAAGCCAGGCATCCCTAGGGAAGGAGGGGTGTGTGACCTCAGGTAGGGTTTCTGTGACCAAGCTTTGCACAGCCTGGCATCTCCTGCTCCAGTGATGCCTCAAAATCAGCAGTTTTCTGTTCCATTTTCACTGTTTTTATTTTGCTTTTGTGTCTCACTGAGTCTCCTATATCCTGGAATCCAGGGGACAGGGCTATGTCCCTACCCAGTCCCTGAAGGAAAATGGAAACCCAGAGAGACTATAGGATCTGCCTAGCCTCATCCCAAGAGCCACAGATGGAACCAGGCAAGACTCCATCACCCAAGTCCCATCCTGGAGCTCCCACCAACCTCCTCTTTCTTTTTTATGCCCCCCCAACAGACCCAGTACTATGGGGAGATCGACATCGGTACCCCACCCCAGACCTTCAAAGTCATCTTTGACACAGGTTCTGCCAACCTCTGGGTGCCCTCCACCAAGTGCAGCCCTCTCTACACTGCCTGTGGTGAGACCCAGGCCCTGTGGCCTCTCCCTATGCCTCTGCCCTGTTATGCTTGTACAGTTCGGCCCCGTGCCAGCTAAATCCCTCCTGCCACTAGTGAGTTCTCTGCCTCTGTGCCCACCTGCCCTGGGAGGAGAGAGGAAGATGTCTCCTGATTTCCTGATATGACCACCAAGGTAAAGAGCAGCTCTAGGATCTACCTGGCTACCTAGAAGGCCATTTCCCAGCATCCTTGAGACTGGGATAGGACCAAATTCTCAAACCCATTCTAGGACTTTATACTCTTCCATCCCAGCCTTAGTCAATAACCTCTTACTGAGAGCCTACTCTGCTCAGAATCTTCTCTGGTGTTATCAGTGCTAGCAGTTACTTTAAAATGCTTCATTTGAGCCAGGCTCCAGTGACTCATGGCCGTAATCCTAGCTAGTCAGGAGATCAGGAGAATCACAGTTCGAAGCCAGCCCAGGCAAATAGTTCGTGAGACCTATCTCAAAAAACCCTAACACAAAAAATTGAGCTGGTGGAGTGGCTCAAGGTGAAGTCCCTGAGTTCAAGCCCCAGTACCGCAAATGAATTTAAAAAATGCTTCGTTTGAGACAAAAATCTCACAAGTGGGAGCAAATAAACGAGGCCAGAGAGAAACAGTCCTTGATTGATGAAACATAGTCTTCCAAGTCCTGACTGACCTCAGGGCCACCCTGTCCCTATATCTGCCCACACCAGTCCTCAGCCACACCAGTCATGCCTACAACTTGCCCTGCCTCTAAGCCTGGGTTGCTCTGATACAGACTTGAGCCTGTGTCCCTCTGCCAGAGATCCACAGCCTCTACGATTCCTCGGAATCCTCTAGCTACATGGAGAATGGGACGGAATTCGCCATCCACTACGGATCGGGGAAGGTCAAAGGCTTCTTAAGCCAGGACTTAGTGACCGTAAGTGAGGCTGCCCCTGGTCATCTGGCCCCTGCCCTTCTTGCCTCAGGCCTCTGCTACCTCTCTAGGGTTGGCACTAGAGACAGATACATTCCAGCCCACCTTGGAGCCTGAGGAGTTGAGGAACACTCTGCTGGGACTGCAAAGAAGCAGAGCCATGGGGAAGAAAATCAGAGCTCCTGGTTACCGCTGGGGGATTGATGGAGGCTTTTGCATCTAAGCCGTGGGACTGTGGAGCCTCCACAGCCTCCAGCCAAGTGACCTGCCTGAGGTCACCATCTCTAACTGGGCTTTTAACCAGCTCCTGGTCTGAAAGTCAGGGTTAGGGTTTTGTTGGCATTGTAGTCAGGCTTAGTGTCTTACGGGCAGGCACAGCTGAGGGTCGAGTTTGGGGTTAGTGGCAGAGCCTGGTTTCCTTTTCATCTGGCCAGTGACTAACCCCTTCTCATTCAGGAGTTTTCCCTTGCTGTGGAGGAATCAGGGGAAGTGTACACATGGAACCCCAGGGGAAATCAGTTGCCCTTCTCCCCTTGTCTGGAATCGGGGGAGGGAGCAGGAAGAGCCAGCCTGGCTGCGCTAGAGAAATCCTTAGCCTGTGATGGGGTGGGGGCTGAGACCCAGTCTTGCTAATGTGAAAGTGGTCCACTGGGGAGTGGGTGCAGAGCATTTGGCATCTTTTCTGTCACTGTCTGGCAGAGCCACCTTCTCAGCCCCACACCCTTACAGCACCCGTCAATCCCAGTTCTCTCTGGATACCAAGAACAGATGTGTATTGAGTGGCAGGTGATGGTGATGGAATTGTCTTACCCCAAATTGCTGTAACCTGGAGCAGGATTTCCCTGAGGTCCCTGGTGTGGCAGCCCAGACCGAACTCCAGTTGGGGGTGGGCAGTGGGCTCGGTCTCCTCTGATTCTTTTTCTCATAGGTGGGCGGAATCACAGTGATGCAGACATTTGGAGAGGTCACAGAGCTGCCTCTAATACCCTTCATGATGGCCAAGTTTGACGGTGTTCTTGGCATGGGCTTCCCTGCACAGGCAGTCGGTGGGGTCACTCCTGTCTTTGACCACATCATCTCCCAGAGGGTGCTTAAGGAGGATGTCTTCTCTGTCTACTACAGCAGGTGGGCCTGCAACCCTAGGGCCAGAGTAGGGGGTAAAGGGGTGTGTGTGTGTGGGGGGTGGAACAGAAGAGCTGGGAGAGTCAGGGTTTTTGTGTTCCTTATTCGGTGGTAATCAGTCAATATCTGGAGCTGCACGAGCCAATGTGGATGCCACTATTGAGGTCTAAACTAATTAAAATGAAATGAAATTAACATTCAGTTCCTTAGTTGCATTTCCCATGCCCAGCTATCACAGTGACAGTGACTCCCATATTGGATCCTGCAGGTCTAGAATAGCTCCATCATGGCAGAACGTCCTAATGGAGGTGCTGCACTGGAGAGGAGAGTGTGGGGTGGGAATAAGCACTGCTGCAACCTGGACACCCTGGGAGGGCCATCGCTCCTCCTGTTTGTTTGTTTGTTTGTTTACTTACTCACTCGTTGTTTGTAAGTCAGTGCTCTGTGCCCCACAACTGTGATGGGCTCCAGGGGTACAGCGGTGAACATGACAAGTGAGACAATCCCCTCCTCAATCCTCGCAGAGCTCACACTTTAACAGGGAGACAGAAAATACTACATGATGGGTGCTGTAAGCCTACAGGGCACCCAGTACTGAAAGCAGCAGCTGCTTTTCAATTCAGCCCTGGGGAAGCTGTGGTCAGCTCCTCAAACAGGGCTATGATCCATCACAAGAGTTCAGAAAGATGGTCTGGAGACAAGGTCGTTAGGGTAGGAACATAAGACTCAGAGAGTAGAGGAAAGGGGTGGAGTCCAGCACAGTCTGAAGTAAAAGGAGTCTCTGGTTGGTGACCAGAAGGAGGCATTGAGAAAAGGTCACCAATTAGAGTCTCTGCAATCAGGAGTGGCCTTGGGGGAAGAGCCTCTTTAGAGGAAGGGGGGAGGCAAGGCCAGATGAAAGCAATTAAGAGTGGAGGTGGGTAACAGGAAGTGAAGGTCACTAAGTATAAACTGCCCTGGGAAATTCAACCAGGAAGGGGAGGTAGGGTAGGGGTAGAATGGGATCCAGAGAGAAGCAGGGAAAGGGAGGGGGGTGTTTTAAACGCCAGAGGATGCTTGAGCAATGGTTGTGGGTGGAGGAAGAGGTCAATGGGAAGCAGAGATTGAAAATGTGAAGAGGAGATAAATAGGGACACAGGAGCTGGGGCTGCGGAAAGGATGAGGATCCAGCAAACAGGAAGCAGGAGGCTGTGTGAGCAGAGGGCGTCTTCCTTTACCTTGGGCTGGGAAGAAGCGGCATCCGGAAGATCCTGCTGTAGCAGGAGGGAAGTCGTGCTACCACAGGCTCCTGTACACTTACTGTGTAGAGGTACAAGTAATTGACAACTTGCACAGAAGAGCACATGCGCACTACACACCTTTGAACACGTGCACAGGACCGCGTGCCTCTTGTCAAAATTCTAGAAAATCACATCACACACAAACACACCCTGGAAAGCTGCCCTGGGGGCATAGGCACTGTGCAGTGCAGAGAAGGCAAGGGGAACAGGCCTCAGGCCAGGCCCCCACTCAAGGCCTGTGCGTGACTTCAGGCAAAAGACTTCACCTCTTGGTGACTCCATTGCCTGAAAGATGAAAAGAGACTGTCTAATCTTCCTGCCCAACATCAGGGCCTGTGAGGCTGGACTGAAACAAGCTGTCCTCTCTCGGCAGATATCCCAAGTCAAACCTCCCTTGTAGTCCTGACCCTCTAGTATTCCCTGGGCACCTGACCCATACTCACGCATGCCACCCACCCCAAACTCTCCTTAGAAGCTCCTCTGGATGCCCATTCTCTACCCCTGTCCTGCTCTCTGTAGCCCCCCTGCCCCTCCCACAGCAGCCTCCCCAGAGTCCCTCCAAACACCTGCTGGACCCAAATGACAGGGGCACCATTTGCATCTTATTTGCAGCTACTCACTGTCCTTGTACCTACTCCTTTTCTGTGACCTTTCTGGGGGTGGGTTTTGGGTGTAGCTGGAATACCCTGGAAAAGCCTCTGTTAGGCTTGGGAGGACTAGCAAGAGGAGATGCTGTGTGTTCTGTGTGCTTCCTAATGACAGCTTCCTGCCCTGCCATCTGTCCCCAGAGCCCTTCCTTTACTCCAAAGCTCTCTGCCCTACACCCAAGTTTCCCTTGTTGCTGGAGTCTCAAAGTGTTGGAGGCTGAGGGTCTCCAAGAGTTGCTGATCTTTCCTTTAGGGATTTCCACCTGCTGGGGGGAGAGCTATTGCTGGGGGGCAGTGACCCCCAGCATTACGAGGGGAATTTCCACTATGTGAGCGTCAGCAAGATCGGCTCCTGGCAGATCACAATGAAGGGGTCAGGAATACTCAACCTCCTTCGTTCCTTAAATTGCTTGGCCACAAGGGTTGGGTGGGGAGGGGACGGGGCAGGATCACCCATCCTGTTCTCTCTCTGCATGCAGCCACTCCATAATCACAGCCACATCTGCTTTCTGCCTGTCTGGCCAAGATGGTGAATGGAGAGATTTTGAGGAGCGGGGAGGAGGTGCCTAGGTCACATGCCAAAAGCAGGAGACAGCACCTTTCCTTGTCTGTTCACTGCCTCACTCTTCCTCCAATGCATCACTGATCACCTGCATGGCATCCTGTCACCACCCCCACTCAGGAAAGATGGAACCTGGGGTGCTCGCCAGCTTCTGTCTGTCTGACTGTGCCCCTCCCCCACCAGGGTGTCTGTGGGATCTACAACCTTGCTGTGTGAGGAGGGCTGCATGGCAGTGGTGGACACCGGTGCATCCTATATCTCGGGTCCCACCAGCTCCCTGAGGCTGGTCATGGAGGCCCTGGGGGCCGAGGAGCAGAGCACAGATGAAGTAAGATGCTAAAAGGGTTGGGTACCAGGGGTGGGGAGCACCACCTGTGAGCCCTGAAATCATCCCAGGCAGCATTAGTTTGCAAACAAGGCCATTTCAGGCCTTCTCCTTCTCATGTGTCATATGTCTCATATGGAGGGTGGGCACTTCAGCCAACTCCAGCAGAGGAGCCAGGCCGCAAGTACACGGCTCTGTGTGCTGAGAGCATCCACACTGAAAAGGGACCCCTTTATCCCCACCCCCAGTATGTCGTGAACTGTAACAAGGTGCCCACACTTCCTGACATCTCCTTCCACCTGGGAGGCAGAGCCTACATACTTACCAGTGCGGACTACGTGCTACAGGTGAGGTGCAGAGAGAAAGGGTGGGCAGGGGCCATTGAAGAGGGACAGTCATAATGCAAAGATTACATGCAAGTCCAGTGACTCTCAAACTTGGCTGTTTGTGTCAGCTGGAGAACCTTCAACAATCCCAGCAGTCAGGCCACAACCCACATCTGTTAAATCAGAACTGCTAGGAGTGGCACCCAGAAACTACAGGTTTCAAAACTCCCCAGGGGATTCTGATGTGCAGCAGTGCTGACAAAATACTGTCACCTTCCTTCCCTCTGTCTCCATTTTCTCATCAAAGAGTTCCAGAAATTCTATGCTTTTCATGTTCACAGGCTTAGAGAAGTTAAAGAACTAGTCAAAAGCTGAGCCAGACTGTAATAAGTGTAGTTATTTCTCAGATAGGGTCTTACATTTTTGCCCAGAGCCAACCTCAGGCCACAGTCCTCCTACTTACGCCTCCTGTGTAGTGGGGACTACAGGCATGTACCACCATGCCCAGCCCTGGAAGGCAGCTCTTGAAGGCAACACAGGGCCTAACACACTGCTTGCCTAGTGTCTAGCACAGCACCTGCATCTACGAGGGCTACAATCAGGCTGAGTTAAGATGGCCAAGACGGGATCCAGACCCAGGGAGTATGGGGGCAAGAATGGCATACTGCTGAAGACAGTTGTAGGGACCAGGCAAGGTGACAGAGGGTGATCATGAGCTGGGCAGTGGAGCAACCCTCCTGCTTCTTGTCAGGACTCCTTCAGAAATGATGACCTATGCACATTGGCCCTTCATGGTCTGGACATCCCCCCACCCACTGGGCCAGTCTGGGTCCTGGGAGCCAGCTTTATCCGCAAGTTCTACACCGAGTTTGATCGGCACAATAATCGCATTGGTTTTGCCTTGGCTCGCTGAAGGCCCTCTGCTACCTGGGTGACCCTGCCTTCAGTTCAAGCCCAAACCTAGAGCTGAAGCACTCTCTAGGAACCTCCTCTGCCTGGGCTTGTGCCCTCTTGTGGGAACACTGGACCTGGAACTCCGGTTGGACACTTGCCCTGCCCCCTGCACCAGCCCTTCCCCGCTTTGAGGACAAACTGAATAAAGATTTCATGTTCACAAACGTTATACCTGGGTCCATTCAAGTTTGAAACAGAGGTAGGGACAGCTATGTGTCATGCATGGATAGGAAGTGACAAAGACCAACAAGTTACACATTCACCCCCACGTACAGGTTGATGCCATCTTTCTGCTGTCAGCAGGACTCTGGTGGAGTTCATTTACACAACCTTTGTTGGAAAGTTTGCAGAGAGCCACTCCTGTGCCCCTCTAGCCCTTCAGGGACCAAGGCTAATGCTATAACAGTAGGCCGTGGGTCAGAAAAATGGTCCTAGCTCACAGAAGCCAGCTCTGATTCCAACTTCTGCACTGCTGAGGTAGCCAGTCCTGCCTTGTGTGCCCTGCAAAACTCCCCTCAGCCTGTCCCTCATCCTCTGTAGACCTCACCCCTGCCCCACATGGCAGGCAGTTTACACAGACAGCTTACAGCACCACCATCTGAAAATGTAGAACTTTACAGAGATCCCACCAATACCCAACTTCACACGTGGGAAAACAGGCCCAAACAATGGGAGGTATTTGCCCAAGGTCACTCTGAAGAATCAAGTAGGGAGGGATCCTGAAAGGTGGTGAAGAAGCAAGCCTAGAACCCAGCCCATCCAACTCAGGTTCTGGGGCTTTTTCACCTGGTCACGTGGGGCTGGTGCTGTCACAGAGACAGAGCTTCCTACATCCTGGTATGAGGCTACATGCACAGGCACACAAATACATACACTGCTGTCCTCCATCTCACGGACTGGGGACTCCGTAGGCTGAAGTCTGTTCTCCCACTGTCATCCCCATGCTGTCTGCGGAGCAAGTATAGCTTGAGGAATGAGATCCACCTGAAGCCACTAACTGTCCCTTCACTATAGCCGCTCACCCCAATTTTGATGAAAAAACATGAGGCACTGAGTGGTCCAACCAAACCCTCAGTACCCCTAGGGTTGCAGCCTCCTGGGATTCGGGGTGGGGGGGCAGAAGGGGAGGATTCCAACAGCAGGCGTCATCTGCATACAGCATCTTTGTGCAAAGTCAAGAGCAAGAGCCTGGGCTTCAGGCCCTGGTCTCCCGCTGAGTCTCTGTGTTCCTTTGCCCTTCCTGCTTTATTTCCCTAGCCTGGTGGGGTTTTATTTCCTCATTGCAAAAGGAAGAACTGGGAACAGTGTCCTTTCCAGCCCCAGCATTCTGAGGCTTCATGACCTTAAGTAGGCACCACTACCCATCATCTTCCAATGCAGCGGGCACATATGACTATTTACACTTGAATTTAAATGAAAGTTAAATAAAATGCCGCTGTAGCCACATTTTAAATGCTTTGTAGCCCCGAGTGGCGGGTGGCGCCTGCATTAGGAGCACAGATATCGCATCACTGTAGAAGTTCTGCCAGGCAGAACTAGATTCTAGACGACAATAATCATACGACTTTGTGGTTGAGATGTTCCTGAGTAGGCCGAAAACGGTAACTTGGGGACATAAAAATGGCCCCTTCTGTAGGCACTTTTCACACTGGGCAGCGCAAGATAGTGACTAGTGAGGCAGGACAGGGAGTGACCCAGGCTTCTCCATGGCAAAGGTCCTGCTCAGGAGGTGACAGAATGACCAGTAGGGCATATGGCTAACGGAGGCCCTTTCCACTAAGTTGGCCTGGCCTCTTTCCATGTCTCCTCCTCCCCACAGAAACTCTGACCAGGGACATCTTGTTGCCCCTTCCTCCAGGCTAGCTGTTAACAGCCTGCTTTGGCTCTATAGCTGTGCTAGGCCTTTAACGTTCCACAGAGGGTGGGGGGTTGGAAGGTGAGCCCAAGGTCTGCCCTCCTCACCTCTTTGCCCAACAAAGTGCTGGGCTCAGGGACACCCGCTGACCTGCTACCTGCCCCCAGTCAGACTCTCAGGATGGGAGGGAGGCTTTAAGGATTATTTAGTGATCAAAACTCAGTCTTGCTCAAAGTGCAGGCCTAGTATGTGCCCAAATACTCCAGGGTTCTGGAACATTCAATGACTCGGACAGTCCAGTCTGCCAGCCTGGCACACTCACCCCCAACACCATCACCCAACGTCCTCTATCCAGTGATTATATGTAGTGGTGGGGTTGCCGGGGACGCGTTGCAGGGGTAGACCCTTTGAGAGGTAGTGGGGTGCGCTCTTGCAGAGCCTTTTCCAGGGGTCCAGGGACTGAGGGCAGGGAGCATGGGGTCGTACCCAAGCTGACCCCTTAGGACCAGCCTGATCTCCATATTCCAGGATGAGCCCTCCCCCGCCCCTGTCCCTGGCTACGGGTAAAGAGCTGCTCCGCCCAGCTGCAGGGGAAGCAGCGGGGGAGCAAACCCTGGGCTGCTTCTGCTGGGACCCGGGGGCGGAGCCTGCGGAGGCCCGGCCCCTTGCGTCACGGCCCTCCCCCGGGGGCGTCATCCCCCCTCTCCCCCCGCCCCCCGCTCCGGCCCCGCGCTCCAGGTAGCGGTGGCTGCAGCTGCCAGCGGTGTCCGGCGGCGCTCTCCCGCGGCCGGCGGGCCGGGCCCGGGGCGGGCAGGGGGCGTTCCCGCAGCCCGCCGCCCGTGATGTCACAATCGCGGCGGACCCCGGCGTTCCCGGGTCGGTTGCGGGCGCCGGGAGGCGAGCCGGCGATCGAAGCGGGCAGCTCGCTCCTGAGTCATGGACTTCCCCTGGCCCCTCCTCTACCACTCCCACTCCCTCGCCGGGCCCCCCCGCAGGGGCTAGCGCTGGCGCGGCGGCTCCGAGGGGGTGGGGCTGCTGGGAATGGCTGTGCCCCCTTCGGCTCCTCTCTCGTGCTCGCCCTTTTACCTGCGGAGGCAGGCGCCCTGCCCGCAGTGCTCATGGGGCATGGAGGAGAAGGCGGCGGCCAGCGCCGGCTGCCCGAGGGCCGCCGCCGTCCCCTGCTTTGGCGTATCGGTGGACCAAGACGACATCCTCCCTGGCGCCCTGCGCCTCATCCAGGAGCTACGGCCGCACTGGAAGCCCGAGCAAGTTCGTACTAAGGTAGTCCAGTGGGCGCGGGGCCAGGGTCTGGGCCCTGCCGGGGCTGCAGCTGGGCTGCGTGGACGCCTGACCATGCATCCTTCCGGGTGCCGGTCCCAGGGGTGCTGCGCAAGAAAGGTTTGGGACGTGGTTTATATGCGTGTTTATCACTCCATCTATTTTGGTGCCTAAGCTAAGCTAGGCTCAAACCTCCCTGGACCCTCCCAGCATACGTTCTCCTGGGGATCTCTGGCATGGATGTCCCCGGAGGTCCACCTGCCCACTGTCAGCATGTTGCAGTACGGGCCCCACCCCCCGTCGATGCGTGCTGGTGGCCCCTAGTTGTCCAGAAGTGCGTACCCAGCCACTCTGAAACCAGAGGAGGCAAGAACTTTTAAGGGACCCCCCCATCCCCCCACCCCGCCACACACACACACATTGCTGCCCCCTTTCCACCCTATGGTGGGAGCAAAGCCTCCAGGTTCTGAGCAGACTCTGGGGAATTCCAGCTAGCTCCAGGCCTCCCCTCACCATCGCTGCAAGCTGGGGCTCAGTTACCCCCCACCCCTTGTACACAGAGGGTGCCTTCTACCAGAGCTGGACTTAGTCTCCCACACACACCTGTGGACAGATCCACCTACTGAGGGGCCCTAGTCTGACTCCCCAGCTGGCCTGTATTCTCCCACAAAAGGCTTTCACCCACCCACCAAACCCACCTGCCCTCTGTGGGGGCTGCCTGTGTAGGAAGGTGCTTAGTGGCAGGACTCCCTGCTAAATGGCCTTCTAGGTAGGGAAAAGCAAAGTTCTAGAGAGGTCCTGGATGGAGTGAAGAGGCTAATGAATCCCTCCAGGGGAGGGAGTAGCATTTTCAAAAGGCCCAGGTTGGCGGAAGACAGTTAAGGCATCAAACAGACCTGAGGATAATTCCAGCTGACCTCAAGTGCCAGCTGCTAATCACTCTCCTCTCTAGGAGCCACTTTCCTCACCAAGAATTGGTTCAGATGCCCTCTAAGTTCCCATCCAGCTCTGTAATATTATGTCCCATGAAGTCTGTGGTTCCTCCTCCTTATCACTGTCCAGAGAGTTTGCACCCCTTGTCTTCCTGTTTTTTCTGGTATGGAACTCAGGGCTCAAGGTCCCCCTGGCCACCAAAGTCCTGGGATGGGTGCCAACCTTGATACCTTTCTCGTACCTCTGCCACTGGATGGAGCAAGAGGTACAGTAGAGATCCCTCTGCCTGGCAGTGGTGAGAGGCAGCTGGTCAGGATGTTCTGAGCTCCCAGACCTCCTCTGCCACATTTTGGTCCATGGGCAGTTTCTTTTAGGGCCAAGATGAAGGAGGAACGAGGGGAGGGGGCTTCCACCCACCACATAGCATGGACATTCCTCCCTTACCAAATCCCATCCACTTGAGGCAAGCACAGAAGTGAGTGTGCCTTGGCTGCCATTTTTTTTTTTTTCTTGAACTCTTTAGTCTACTCCAAGGTTGGGAATAGTGCTGGCTTGTGTGTGGTGTGCCCAGCATCCAAACAAACATGTCCTGCTGAGAACTTGCCCCACCCACCCATGCCTGTCCTCTCCCCATACTAGCGTTTCACAGATGGCATCACCAACAAGTTGGTGGCCTGCTATGTGGAAGAGGACATGCGGGACTGTGTGCTGGTCCGGGTGTATGGGGAGCGGACAGAGCTGCTGGTGGACCGGGAAAATGAGGTCAGGAACTTCCAGCTGCTACGAGCACATGGCTGTGCTCCCAAACTCTACTGCACCTTTCAGAATGGGCTGTGCTACGAATACATGCGGGGTGTGGCCCTGGGACCCGAGCACATCCGAGAGCCCCGGCTCTTCAGGTGAGTAGGACTAAGGTACCATCCACCTTCTATTCCTCAGGCCTGAGACTTTCAAATCGTTCCGGCTTCCTTGGTGTAGGGTGGGGTCCATGCAGGAGAGAGATACCATTGGAAATTGCATTGAAAAATGGGTGTGTGTTGCCATGCATTACTCTCTGCTGTCTATAAGACTTTAGTGGGGTCTGCTAGAAGGATGAGTTCTGAGGGAGGAAAGTGAGAATTTTGATGAACATGGGACCAAAGCACCTGATTCCCTAAATGAAGCAGAGATCTGTTTCTTGACCCAATGCCTCAAGCCTCTGCCCACCCATCCTCTGATCTGGAAACATCTTAGCGCCTTGAAAATGAAATCTGAGCCAAATCCCCAGGGCGCTCAGAGTTTCCTCCCTCTCCTCCCCTTTTGCAGAGAGCTCAGGTGTGCAAGGCAAACGAGCCCTACTCAGGGCAAGCATGGCTTTACCAGCTCAGAGAAACGCCCTCCTTCCTGCTCCCTGACAATGTGGAGACCAAGTTTGAGGTGCTGTGGAGGCCTCCTTGCACGAGGCTCACAAGAACCCTGGGTCCCTGGATGTAGGGCCCAGAAACTACACTTAACCTTCAAGCCCTGTGGATACTGCTGTGAGGCCTGGTAGGGGAAGATCCCAAGAGCTTCTAGTGTTCTCTCTCTCTCTCTTGCTGACTGTGCCAGGGCTAGGGTGTCAGGCAGTAACCACCCTCCTTCTCCCAGTACCATGAGCTGTGTGGAGGGTATCAGACCATAGTGAGGCCAAGGCAGGCTGAGGACAGCTGGTTAAGGGTCTGCCTAGGGGTCTTGGCATCTGCCCTGTCCAATCCAAGAGAAGGGAGACTTCTGTGTACTTGAGAGCTAACAGACACTCTGCTTGGGACAGTAGTCCCAAGTAATTGTAGCTAGCCTTCTTTGCACACATGGCTGGCCCTCCAGGACATAGGAACCTGAGAGCTCCTTCACCTCCATGTTCCCCAGTGCTGCTTGGAGCTGCTGGGGTCTTGGAATGTCCACTTTGGATTGTGTGCCATAGCTGCATGTGTCTAGGGGGTGTTACACACCTGTACAGGGGTCTTCTCAGTCTCCAGCTAAGCAGCTGTAAATGTGTCCAACTTGGAATGGTGTAGTCAGAGCAGGGCGCAAGGGACCCTGCCCTGCTTCTCCACGGCTCCTCCCAGCTCTCCCTCAGACTTGTGCAAATAAGCTCAAATATTGGCAGGTCCCCACCACTCCCAGTTCTCCCTCCGCCTCTATGAGCCTCATGCTGTCACTCATCCTCTCGGCAGAAACAATTACCACTGTCAGGAAGATTGAAGGGGGATTTAGGCTCCATAATAAGAAGCTGGCATTTGGGGGAGAGCCAGAAATTGGGATGGGTGTAGGAGGTAGGCCCTCCTTGGTGACTTTCCCAGGATAGACTGTTTTCCCTCTGGATGATGGTCTGTGAGGAAGGCCTCACCCTGCCATGTCCCCTGAGCCCACCCTAGCCTTGCCTGATGAGGCTCTTCAGCATGAAAATGCTGAGTGTTGAGGTTACTTTCATTGCTATTCACACAACAGCCCTATTGATATTTAAGAAACAGCCCTGTTCAGCCTCTGTTCTGAATCTTCCTAGGGAAAGTGAAGACCAAGCCTGGATCTCAGGTCTGGGTAGGTCTGGGTCCCTACTGTGCTCAGACCCCCCAGTGGGTGCCCTCCTGCCCCAGGGGCCTTGGCCTCCATGTACAGCCTGCCTTTCTCATCCTCTGGGCTGCTGCTACCCACCCTACTCCTCCACCGTTTAGGAGATGGGAGGTTTAGAGGCTTCAGGAGGAGCCCTGAAACTTTCCCGTTTTCCTGGTGACTATGGCCTACCCCTTCCCAGGGCTGGACAAGTGTCCCTAGGATGGCTCGGTAACAAAGTTTCAAACAGCCAGTGCCTTGTTGCCTTTCTCAGTGATTATTACTCGAGCAACAGGCAGAGGCAAAGGAAGCCTCAAAGCTTTTATAGTGGAGGCCTGGCAGATGGTTGGGGGGTGGGGCTGCAGAAGGGAGGACTAGCAGAGCCCAGTTGGGACCCTGGCCCCCGCGATGGGGTCTTTATCAAGGTCCTTCCTCCCTGACCCATCAGTCCTCCATCCACTCCTACCCTCTCCCACCTTCTAGCAGCCCTGTCAGCCTCCCACTTCTCCTCTCACAGGACCTTGGATAATGTCCACAGGAGAACTTGAAAATAGAATGCTAGATTGTTTTTGCGTCCTTGGCACCTGGCCGCCAGCATCAACTCCCTGAGGCCGAGGAAGGGGCTGCCCCTGGCCAGCCTAGTTCCCTCCCCACCTTGGCCAGGCTGATAAGAGGCGGGCATTTCTTTCCTGCTGGCATCATCACCCACTGATGTCTTGGTAGAAAGGGACCTGCTGTCACCTCCCCTGAGAGGATGGGGCAAAGTCTGGGGGGGAGGAAGGGCACCACCCCCAGGCCCAAGTTCCCCTCTGTACTTGGGGGCTATTGTGGGAACACTGGGGTGGGGCAAGCCATTGACCGGGGACCAACAGCCCTCTGCTCCCTGAAGCAGCCCCAGCTTCTGGGACTGAAAAGTTAGCTGTGAGCTGAAGGATTTATTGCATTTTCGTGCCTTCTGCTGAGACCCTCCTTCTTTGGAACCCTGGATCCCAAAAGAGTAAAGATCCCATGCTTGGCACTCTGACTAGTGCCCTAATGGACCGTCCAGCCCCTTTCTGGTCAGGAGGGACTGAGCAGGGAGGGTATGCCCCACACTGACACTCTGTACTCCTGTTTTCTGTTGTAGGTTAATCGCCTTAGAAATGGCAAAGATTCATACCATCCACGCCAATGGCAGCCTGCCCAGGCCCACTCTCTGGCACAAGATGCACAATTATTTCATGCTGGTCAAGAACGAGATCAACCCCAGGTACAAAGATCAGGGAGGGCCTGAGACTGCCACTGTCTCTACCACCCTCCCATTCTTTTGGCTCCAGCCCACCCTTCCAGGAGGTGTAGGGACACAGGTCCTGGATGGGGACTGAGGAGTTTCAGCCCCTTCATTCCTAAGCTATAAGCAAAGTTGGGCTGATTGGCTGCATCTCAAGAATGTAAATCAGCTGTTTTATGTACTCACATTTATTTCTTTTTGAGTCTTCTGATTGAGGCAAGGACTAGGGTCAGGAATGTCTCCCCAGTTTACTTAGAGGAAACTGAGGCTCAGAGACAGAGTTTTGCCCACTGCGGGGCTGTCAGAGGCGGGGCTTCTGCTTCCCAGTCTAAGGCTCTTCCTATGGCCCTGGATGCCCCAGCGGTAGGAGGGGAGGGGCTGAGTTCAGCCAATCAGAAGAATAACTCAGGGGCCAGCAAGCCCTGCAGATGGCAAGGTTCCTGCTACCTGCCTGGACTCCTCTTCTACTCATGTGCCTCTGAGGTTCCTGGCTCCCACCTCCTTCAGAGTGACACTTGCTGGTTCCTGCACTGCTCTTGCCAGGGATGGAAGTACCCCGTCCATCTTGACTTGCTTTCCACAGACAAGGCAGGGTTACCTGAACTTTCCCTTAGGCTCTCTGGCTAGCAAGCTGAGAATCCTGCTAGCCTCTGAATGCCTGGTTCCCAGCACACTCCAGAGTGCTGATACAATGACAGATATGGAAGAAACAGTGGGGTCTCCTCTTCCCTTTCAAAAATAAAAAAGGTCAGTAGTGAGTCTCTGCTTCCATGTACCCTACTGAGATCAAACATCAGCCTTTTAAAAAGTATTTTTTTGAGTTTTAATTGACACGATATTTGTACACATTTGTGGGGTACAGTATAATTTAATACATGTATACAGTTTGTATAATAATCAGATGAGGGTATTTGGAATATTTGTCACCTCAGACATTTATCATTTTTTTTTGTGCTAGGAACAAAGCCCCTTCTATTACCTGTTTTGAAATACATGATTAGTTTGAACATTGTCTTTGTTTCAAGTATTCGTGGAAAGTAGGGTGCAGAGGAGGTCTCGGAGAAAGGTACCTTCTTCCTTTCTCTAAGATGACAATCATTAACTGGCATCTTGATTGTGTGTCTTTTACTCACACATGTGACTTTATCTAGACCTTCTTAATGGCCATCAAGGACTGCTTTGGAACTGTCCAGCCTGCCCTCTATTTGACCGTGTTCAGACCTATGTCATGTATTATCTCTGGGACAATGACTGCCTTCTCCCTGAAGACCAGAATGGCAGAAGGAGAACAGGACCCTCAAATCCGTCAGCTACCACCATCATTTGAGAGATTAAAAAAAAAACAACAAAAAAAAAAAAACCACCTGAGTCTCAGAGAGGGGATGGGACTTGCCCAAGGTCATTACTGGTCAGTGAAGAAGAATGGCCAACTTCCTTTGCTCTTGCTGTGCCTTTGACCTTAGGAAAATCAAGGTTTAACAACTTTAAGGGATGATACTTGCCAAGAACTGCCTCACCTGCCCCAAAGCAGGGCAATGCTGAACAATCATTTAAACTAGACAGAGTACCTTGGGCTCCTGCATTACCTCATAACCCTGATTTATTCAATCCTTTATTTCACAAACACTGAGTGACTGGGATTTAAAAGAATAGAAAAATGAAAATGATGATAACATTGGCTCTGCCCTCAAGAAGCTTAGGAGCCATCTGGATAAACAGACATGCCCATACTTGGTACAAAAGAAGTCAGGGTGTGTAACGTGTGTATAATGTATGGAGGGGGTGAGAGTGAGGACCAGAAAGGTCATCTTGGCAGAGGTGACAGGGCCAAGATGAGAAGGGCCACTCCAGCTGGAAAGACAGCCTAGGGTTTACTCAAGGAAGTAGAGTAGGTGAGGTTGACTGGCAGATCTTCAGAACTGCCTGGGAGAAGAGGCTGGAGCTAGAGGGTGGGAGACTTGGCTGCTAGGCTAAGAAGCCAGGATTGAAGGGAGCAGAAAAATCATTGTGTTGTTGCCAAAACTATGGTTTAGGAAGGAGTGTTGTAAGGGATAGATTTGGGTGAGGGTTGGGCCAGGTGTAGACTTAAGTTAGGGATATAAGTTGGGGGAGTATTGTCATTAACTCATCATGATCTAGGGCTGGGGGTCCTAGATTTGGAGAGCAAGGTCCCCCTGAAGTGCCTGCTAACTGTAGGTTACCAGCCCAACCTGGAGGTTGGTTGAATGGCCTCATACGGGCCCCCAGGACTCTACAATTAGGCGATGCTGAGGCAGGAACCACATTGTGAGGGACATTACGTTAGGACTGTGTGTGGGAAGATGGGGGTAGAGAATAGGATGTGTCACAGATCTGTAGAAAGAGATCTAGTGGACTTGGTGGTGTCCAGGATGGGTAGGGAGTAAGAAGATACCAAGGGTGGGTTGGTAGAAGGGCAAAGGTGAAAAGCCAAGAAGCTAGAATGCTCAGTCTCCCAAGAGGTGAAAGTACTTTGGCCTGCCAGATGAGAGCCAAGTGGAGACTAGCCAGGCAGCAGTCCCTTTGCCCCTCCTGCTGTCTCTGGGGGCTGAGGAGCAGACCTGTGGGGTGAGAATGTTTCTAGGTGGCAACAGTGGCTCCTCTGCCGCCAGCCCCACAGCCTTGGAAGAGACTGGTAGTGTCAGGACTGAAAGCAGCAAAGCTGGAGGAGGTCCAAGAGCTCAGGGGAGGACACCAGGCAGCCAAGGGAGGCTGATGGGAGATAGGACTGGATTGTTCCCACAGTAACCATCATTGTGGCCTTGGGTGGGCAGGGTGGGGTCAGACTAAGGTCAGGGACTGGGAAGCAGGCATCTGGATGTCACAGGCCTGTTTTTCAGGCTGAGACCTGGGCAAACCAAAGGAAGCCTCCTCACTCTTGTGATAGCCTCAGTCCAAGAGAAAAGGAATCTTAAGAGAACGTAGCTTCTTAAGGAAGATCGAATCACACTGCATATAGACCTGTGGATGGAGATCAAGTTCAGTGCGGATGAGGGGGCCTCCCCCATCCTTCCACGGGCTGCCTGGCTCAGAGACGCCTTCGCAGAGCCTGAGGGTGCCTTGTCTGTGTGTCGTGGTGGTGGTGAGGCGGGGAATATACAGCCTGGCTGATTCGGGATCCTGGACAAGCTGAGGACCACCTCCTTAGATGAGGAAGTGTGGGATCCAGCTGTATCCAAGCTGCATGGAGGGAGAGACAAAGACTGTCTTCTTCCTGGAGCCTCAGTTTCCCCATGGGGTTGGACTGGAGGACCTAAGAGCCGCTATAGCTTTCATTTTCAAAGCCCAGGTGGGAACCTGTCAGCTCTTCCTTTACCAGAGGGGATACAAAGATGGCTTAGTCACTGAATACCCCCATTCTGTTGGGAATTAGGGGGCAGTGAGACAGTGCTTATCTAGTTCTCATCTTCCTCCACCTGCCTTTCTGCAGGAGTAGAAATAAAACCCAGTCTCTCCCCTCCACCCATGGATGGTTCTGGCTTTTTGAAAGACTGTGCTAACTATTTGGCTTTTTCAGTATACACAGACCTGTGTGCATCAGAGGGGTCAAAGTTCAGAGCACCTGAGTGCAGTGTGCCCTTGCCCAGCTTCTGCGTGGCCTCTGGTAACTTCATTGATTGACTGATTTGTTCATCCCTCTACTGATTTCCATCTGGAGAAACGGCTGCTGTGTGGGGGATGGGTGGGCAGAAGTGGCCTCCATGCATCTTTGTTTCTAGCTCTCTTGCCTGGGCATGGTCTGGCAGGGGTCTGGGACAAGGAAATACGCATCGTCCAAGGTGGAAGGGACAGGTTTTTGGGAGTGGCAGAGCACACTTGTGCACTAGGCCTTTCCTATACCTTAGTATCACAGGGTGGATCTCCACAGCCCTTGGTTTACTACTTTACTAGGTTTGTGTGGTCTGGGAGATGAAGTAGGCCGATGGTCTCTTATTGCCTTCACCCTGTAACATTTTTAGCTGCTGGGGAGTGAGAGGCCATACTAGCACAAATCTCTGCATCCTGTAGAAAATCCCCTTGCTCCAGCCCCTCCAGGGCACTGTGATCCTGCCCTGGAGGAGCCCTGGGAGCGTCTAGTCTCAGAGAGCTACAGTCTGTCCCAAGGAGTGTTCCTGGCATCCCAAGCCCAGGTCTGTGTCACATCTCTTTCCTCTTGTTCCTGTGGCCTTTGTTCTCTCTCGCTCTTAAATCATTGCATCTGGACCCTCCTCTTGACTCCTCACCTTCTTGTCCCTTTCACAAAGTAGTTTGACTTTTGTGCTCTGCCAATTGCTTTTGTGTCCAGGGTTTCTTTTTTGTTGTTGTTTTTTATTTATTTATTTTGGTGGGATTGGGGTTTGAACTCAGAGCTTTGTACTTGCAAGTATGTGGTTACCACTTGAGCCACACCTCCAGTCCATTTTGAGCTGATTATTTTGGAGATGGGGTCTCACCAACTATTTGCCCTGGAGCTAGCCTTGAACTTTGATCCTCTCAATCTCAGCCTACCAAGAAGCTAGGATTGCAGGTGTGACCCACCAGCGCCCAATGTGAGTAGGTTTTATCCTCTTTTCAGTATGTAACCACGGCAATCAGAAGGGCAGGTAGCCCCAGTGCCATCTTACACAAGTGAGGGTCTCATGGGCTGGCCACTTGTCCAAGGTCTCTTCAGTAAGAGTAGTAACAGGGGTAGAGCTCAGGGATTTTGGGGCCCTGACAGCACTTGCCTGTCTATGTCAGCCCTCCCCCCCACCAGCTATCTTTTTGCTACCGTCCAGCCTTTCTGCAGATGTTCCTAAAGTGGAGGTGTTGGAACGGGAGCTGGCCTGGCTAAAGGAGCACCTGTCCCAGCTGGAGTCCCCTGTGGTGTTCTGTCACAATGACCTGCTCTGCAAGAACATCATCTATGATAGCACCAAAGGTACAGCTCCTCTACTACAGCTGGCAAGCAGCAGGCCACAACTTGGTTGGTCAGCTGGCTTCAATGGCCTGTTCTTCAGGCTGGCATTTGGATGAGCAAAAGGTGATACGGGTTTTGGTCTCAATTTGTTTAAGAGTAGGAGAAAAGAAAACCAGAAATTCCCATTTAGAAAAATCTATCACAGGAAAAAACTTAAAATCATGGTTGGGGGAGGTGCTCAACAGTTGGACCCTCAAGTCATTCCTCCTGATGACTGGGCTTCTGAAGACATGTGGCTGCCCCAAGCTTCCAGGTGGTGGTGGGGAGGAGGGAAAGAGTGAGAGAGAACAAGAGAGAGAGAGAGAGGGAAAGGGAGGGAGGGAGAGAGAGCATGAGCACAAGAGAGAACATGCCTCTTGATGTTCCTGAGAGTGTAGCCCCCCAGGGAGTACAGGTATCCCTTGGTATCTATGGGGATTGGTTCAGGACCTCTTCAGTATACCACATTCCAAGGACGCTCAAGGCTGTTATATAAAATGGTGTAGGGTTGGGGGTGTAGCTCAGTGGGAGAGCACTCCTGTTGTGTGAGGCCATGGGTTCCATCTCCAGCACTGCAAAAATAAAATTAAAAATAGACCAGCATAGTCTTTGCATGTAACCTATGTACATCCTCCTGCATACTTTAAGTCTTCTCTAGGTTACTTATAATACCTAATGCAGTATAAATATTATATAAATAGCTGTTATACCATACTGTGTAGGAAAAAATTCTGTACATGTTTAGTACAGATGCAGTTTTTTTGGAATATTTTCATCTGCAGTTGTTTGAGTTTGTCGATGTGGAACCCATGAATACAGAGGCTTGGGTATACTTAACCTTGGCCATGCTGAGTACAGATGTCTTTAGATGGGGAGAGCCTAAGTACACAGCTGTGCAAAAGGGATGCAGCAGCTGGGGCAGGTGGGGAAGAGATGGATAAATGGACAGGTAGGAGCAGTCTAGAAGATTGCTGCTGAGACCAAGAGCCAGGGGTGCATTCCGGAGGTCTGCTAAGGCCTGACTGGGCTCAACACTCATTGCCTCTCCTCTGCCTTCTAGGTCACGTGCGGTTCATCGACTATGAATATGCTGGGTACAACTACCAAGCTTTTGACATTGGCAACCACTTCAATGAGTTTGCAGGTGAGAGGGGCATTACTCTTTCACCTGTGTCCAGGCACCTTCCTTATGATGGGGGGCCAGGTCTATGGGGAGGACCACAAGTGGTTCTGGATCCTCAAAATACCTCAGCTTGATGAGGGAAGGCACAGCTTGCTTTTAGAGAACCACAAGTCTCACGGCGGGGGGAGGGGCAAGGCAGGACCTTTTCCCCCAGAATTGACCTCTGCTAGCCTGCATGGCAGTTTGGTACAGATCAGGAAAACTCATTCCTATAGGGTCCCAGGGGATACTTGGCATACATGAGAATTAGAAAAGGGCCCTTCCTCTGGGCAGACACAGCCAAGCCCTGCTTGGCCAGCATAGCACAGTTAACTTCAGCCTCCAGTGCCCCTTGCCCAAGCTCCTTTATGCTCCGTACAGCCTGCACAATTGCTTGCAGACAGGGAGGAATAAGCACTAGTAACTGTTGCGTGGTGTCCTGAAGAGAATAACCTAGGTGGAACTAGTTAAATGTGCATTCTGTGCAACTTGACAGTCCCCCCAAGTTCAAATCCTGGTCTTGCTCCTTTCTAGCTGTGTGAACGTCTGTGTTAGCCCATGTAAAATGGAGATGATGATAGAACTTACTTCACAGTATTGAGATGAGTCACGCACATGGATGGCATATGCCAGGCATCGGATTGGGGTTTGCTGCTGCTTGCAGGGTAGGGAGGTATATTCTTGCAGCAGTTAGGGATGCCAGAGCAGGAGTGGGAGAGACCAGATGTGGGGAGCAGTTCCTAGGGGTAGGCAGTTGTTGTATAAAGGCATGATATGCACCTAGAACCTTCTTTTCTATGGAAAGGAACCAGAGTTTTCTATATTGAGGGCTTGTTAAAAACAAATAGAATGAAGGAAGCAACTCATAGATGAAGCTAGGCATGGGCTGGAGGGATGTCCCCTGGCAGGTGATGTAGGGTGCTCAGCATTAAGTGACCAGTCCTTATAGCTTAGGATAGGTGAGGTACGCCCCGGCCAACTGTAGCCATCCCCTGGCCCAACCCCAGTTACTCCTCAGCCCAAACCAGGCCAATCATGTCCCTTCTGAATTCCCAGGTGACCAGGCCCATCAAGCGCTGCTTGTGCCCAAGAGTACAACTCCCTAGAGCAGCCACCAGCTGTACCTATGAATGGAAAAGGGGATGGGGCCTCAGCTAGGCAGAGCACCTGAACTGCTGCATGTGGCACTCACAGAGCCCAGCACCAGCAGGTCACTGGGCCTGGGAATGCTGGCTGTCAGGCCCACTGACCTTTCCAGAGGGATAATTCCTAAGCATTTTAAGTCCTTACCCACTGCACAGAGCAAAGTCTAGCTGGAATTTCTGCAAAGGGAAAGATTGCATCCTGTTCCCAGGTTGGGAATGGACGAGGAAGAATGGAGCAGGAGGAGGGTGGAGGCCAGAGAGATGAGGAACTTGACCCCCTGGGTCCTGGAGCAAGGAGACAGGTTCTGGGCAGTGGAAGGCAAAAGTCCAACCCTGATCCTGCCTCTAAATGGCTGTGTGACCTGGGCAGATTTCTTTTCTCTGAGCCTTAGTATCTATTTAGAAAATTCTTTTGTTTTTTAATTTGGTACTGAGGTTTGAACTCAGGACTTAGTGCTTGCAAAACAGTGCTCTACAACTTAAGCCATACCTCCAGTTCTACATGGGAGATTCTTTACCGCCTGTACTCCTAGAGCTCAGGAGACTGTGTATGTTTCTCTAGGGTTACAAAGTATGCTTGGGAGGACAAGGAGAAAGGAGAGACCTTGGAGAATGTGGTCCAGTTCAGGATCTATCTTAAATGAACCACTTTCTGTAGTACCTCTGAAGCTAGGTTCTTGGCCACCATGCAAAGCTTATGGCTGGTGGTGCTGGATGGCAGTTTGAAGGTGGGGCTGGAAGGAATCAGATCCCCCTCCCTGGTCCTCAGGTGCTGACCCTGGCTGGGTGTCAGAACCATCCAGAGGAATGGACTGGAGAGAGGGCATCAACCGAAAGATAACTTTAAGTAGCCAACTCGATGCCCGTCCAAGAAGTAGTGTTGGACGTTCATAGCCAAGCCCAGCTGTTTGTCTGATAAATGAAGAGATTTATGCCAGTTAGAGGAGGGGGCTTGTCCAGAGTTAAGTGGAGCTCACCTGAGACTCTAGACCAGCAAGGCTGTTTTGCTGCTTTAGCGCAGTAGCCCAGTGCCTTCTGTGTGTCATTGTTTTGTTCAGAGCACCGGAGATAGTGGTGCTGTCTTGGGGTTCCTGCCACTCCCAGGACAGTGCCATGCCTTCATCCATTCTACCTTGCTCTGCTTTCCTCAGCCCCAGCTGGGATGGGGGGCCCCTACGCTAGCTGAGCATGGGGGATCAGAGGAGCTGTGTTCTCTGGTCCAGCCAGCCCTTCAGGTCTGAGGAGATGGGAGGAAATCTCCAGCAACATCCATTTGTCCTGCTTCCCCGTCAGGTGTGAATGAGGTCGATTACTGCCGGTACCCAGTGCGGGAGACCCAGCTGCAGTGGCTGCGTTACTACCTGCAGGCACAAAAGGGGATGGCCGTGACCCCCAGGGAGGTGGAGAGGCTCTATGTGCAAGTCAACAAATTTGCACTGGTGAGTGCTTGCAACAGGGGCAGGGAAAAGAGGCCTTTCCAACTTCCCACCCACAGCCCAGTGTTAGGATGAGGGCTGAACTCCACCCCAGAGGTGGCCTGAAAGAGCCATCTGGGATGTCTCCTGAATACCAAGGTGCACTGTTCCTTGCTCCCTCTTCCCCGTGAAGTCTAGATTTTCTCCTTTCTGCAGAAATCCTTCCAAAAAAGATCTCTGCTTTCTATTTTAGCAGTTCTCTTGTTTACATGAGTACTTCTTCCCACTGTCTAACCTGAGTCTTTCATGCAGATAAACCTGTCCTTTCCTTTTCTTTAGCCTTTGGAGGAAGTAGAGAATGTTAGCTCTAATCTTCCTTGTAACCACCTCCACTGACTCAGAACTCCGTCTCAACCTTCCCCACCAGGCTTCTCCTGCTCCCATCTCTGGACTGTGAGTTCTAGGTTTCAAGTGGCACTTATCTGAAGAGCACAGAACACCGGTGTGGGCCTGGGAGACTGCTAACTTGTCTCATTAATGTCAGGCATATGTCAGCAAGACAAGTCACGATGCATAACACAGCTGCATAAAACCTACCCGTTCTGTGATTTCAGCTTGTCTGTTCTCTCCTCACCTGCACAGAGCTGCGTCTTAGGTTCTTCCTTCTCTGATGCACTAACTTAAGCACAAGCCTTCCTCTTGATAAGTCTTTTTGGTTTGTTTTTTAGCAAAAACACCTTTGCACTTTCACTTATGCCCCTTTCAAGTCATGAAAAAGAAAGTAGATGGAGGGAGGCCAATCTACTTGGTTACACAGGATTGTAGCCAATCCTTGTGTGAGCAGGACTTGGGATGGGGAAGGAGAGCCATGAGAGTAGGGTACCTTGCCTGGGAGAGTGGTGGTGTAGCTGTTGTTTGTTCAAGGGCAGCTAGGAACTACAGCTGTCTGCTTTCTTGAGTCTGAAGGGACCTGGGTCTAGGGGGCACCTCTGGCTACAGGGAAAGGCAGTGTTTAAGGCTCAGTAAATGCCAAGACTTGGGGCTTCTGGTTCCCACCTCTGGATTTTTTCGCAACCCTACCATTTCCCTTAGCAGAGTGGGGAGGAGATTAGTTTCAGGGGTCTTCCATCAGCCCAGAGCCTAGTGTCCCCATGGCCAGGCCACTGCTGCCCACATTCCTACTGAGGATGCCAGCCCCTCCACTGCCCCCAGGCCTATGCTGTTACTTAGGGTTCAGCTCAGCCTGGCCTGGATACTATGGCCTTGAAGAGTCCCGGATACCCCAATGTAGAAGAGAACCCTGATGGAACATGCAGTGCTCAGTGGGGCTGGGGACAGGATGCCCCCAGAGGCCCTGGAAGTACCCTTCTGCTGACCTGCCCTTGTGGTGGCAAACCCTAGGACCTGGGCAGAAATGACTCTGCTTGGCATCTTTCTAGTCAGACAGTGAAGTATTTGTCTACTAACCTAGCCTCAGAAACCTCCCCAGCCTGTGCTGGGCCCCCTATGTCTGCCAGTGTCCTGACTGTCTTCCAGAGTGGCTGCGTCCCTCCAGCTCTGCAGGAGCCATAACAGGCATGGGCCATCACTAGGCTGACCTTCTTTGGTCTGTTTGCAGGCATCTCACTTCTTCTGGGCTCTCTGGGCCCTCATCCAGAACCAGTACTCCACTATCAACTTCGATTTCCTCAGGTGAGTTCAGGGAGACCTTTGGGAAGGTGGGGGTCAAAGGTCAGCCTAAACAGAATGCCCAGAGTTCATTCCTCTGCTGTGTGGACCTGTCCCCACCTCAGCCTGTGTCTAGTGAGGTCCCTGCTCCAGGGGTTTCTGGGGAAAGTCCCACCCTGAACATAGTCAGAAGTACTGGCTTCTACCCCCCACCTTCCCTGCTAACTTCTACCCAGTGCCATTGCTAGACCTGCTGTGTGCTCACCTGGCCAGAGCCTAGGATGAACTGAATGATTTAAAACCAGTCTGAAAGAGGATGGAGATGCAGAGTAGAAGGGACTTGTGTGGTTTAGCCAACCATGCTGCCCCCTTACGATGACTCAGACCACCTCCTCCTTCAGAGACTCCTTCTGATGTACAGGGACCTAGTACAGTACCTAGATGGTACTTGACAACTTGAGGGACCCTTCCTGTGAAGCACATCTGTCCCTATTGGCTGGAAATCATTTCCTCCTCCCTTCTGGTCCAGTCCCCTTGCCTGTGCTTATGCATCCTCAGCTGAAAGGGAATCACTCCCATCTTCCAGGCATTCACAGGCATTAGAGAAATGCAGATCAAAAACACAATGAAGCTGGGCACTGGTGGCTCACACCTGTAATCCTGGCTACTGAAGAGACAGAGATCATGAGGACTGTGGTTCAAAGCCAGCCTGGACAAATAGTTTGCAAGACCCTATCTTGAAAAAACCCAAAACAAAAAAGGGCTGGTGGAGTGGCTCAAGGTGTAGGCCCTGCGTTCCAATCCCAGTACTGCCAAAAAAAAAAGAAAGAGAAATCATGATGAGATATTGCCCTGTTCTAATCAGGATATCTGTTATAGAAGCAAATCAGCCCAGAAAATAACAAGTGTTGGAAAAAAAATTGGAACACTCGTGCACTTTGGTGGGAATGTAAAATGGTGCAGCCACTATGGAAAACATTAGTCAGGAGTCCTCCCCATGGCCTTCTCAAACACACACACACACACACACACAGAGAATTTCTATATGCTCCAGCAGTTCTCCTTTGGATATATCCAAAAGGATTGAAAGCCAGGTTTCAAAGAAATATTTGTAAGCCGTATTCATGGCAGCATTATTCACAGTAGCCAAGAGGTGGAAGAAACTAAGTGTCCATCAAGTCATGGGTAACATTCAGAAGAGTATTCAATCTTAAAAAGGAAGGGGGTCCTGCCACATGCCATATGGATGAGCCTTGAGGACATTATGCTAAGTGAAATAAGCCAGTCACAAACAAACAAACACTATGGTACAATTCCATTTGTAAGCGGTAACTAGTCCAATTCATAGGCCAGAAAGTAGAGCGATGTCATCAGGGGTTGGAGAGAGGGAGAAATGGGAAGTAGTATTTTTTTCTTTTTCTTTTTTTTTTTTGCAGTATTAGGGTTTGAACTCAGGACCTCATACTTGCTAGGTAGGCATTCTACCACTTAGGCCCTCGGTTAGCTTTTTCAGGTAGGATTTTGTATTTATTTGCCCAGGGCAGGCATTAGTCAGGAGTCCTACCTATGGCCTTCTGAGTACCTACGATCACAGGCAGGCACGGCCACATCTAGATTATTGATTGAAATAGGATCTTGCTTACTTTTGCCCAAGCTGGCCTTGAATTGCAATCCTTCCAATTTCCACCTCCCGAGTAGATAAGATTACAGGCATAAGCCACTGCACCCAGCCAGGAAGTGTTTTTTGATTTTTTTTTAAATTTTGGTAGGACTGGGGTTTGAACTCAGGGCCTCACGCTTGCTAGGCAGGCACATACCTCTTGAGCCACTCTGCCAGCATGGGGAGTGTTTTTTAATTGGGTGTAGAGTTTCAGTTTTGCAAGATGAAAAAGTTCTGGAGACTCGTGATGCAACAGTATGAATATCAACACTCCACAACTGCAAAATAAAACTCCAAACGTTTGCAGGAGGGTTGTTCCAGTCTGATTTAAGAAAAGCAAATTATACTTGAAATTTAAAAACAACAACAAAAAAGCCAGGCACTGCTGACTCAAGCCTGTATGTAATCTTAGCAACTTGGAGGCTGAGATCAGGAAGATTGTGGTTCCAGGCCAGACCAGGCAGAAAAGAAAAAAAGTTCTCAGGACCCCATCTCAACAGAAAAAGTTGGTCATAGCGTTCATTGCCTGTCGTTCCAGCTATAGGGAGAAGCTTAAAATAGGAAGATCGTGGCCTAAGCTAGACCCTATTGGCAAAATAACCATAACAAAAAGGACTGGAGGTGTGGCTCAAGTGGTGATGTGTCTGCCTAGCAAGCTTGAAGCCCTGAGTTCAAATCCCAGTACCACAAAAACAAACAAGGGGCAGGGGTTCTGGCAAGGTGACACACATTTGTAATTCAAGCTACTACTTGGGAAGCACAGGTAGGAGGATCAAGATATAAGGTTGGGGTGTGGCTCAAGTGGTAGAGCACCTGCCTAGTAAGCTGGAAGTCCTGAATTTAAACCTTGATACTGCAAAAAAAAAAAAGAGAGAGAAACAAAAAACCCAATCAGTCCAGGGTAGAGTTGATCTGCTCAGACCTAGATGAGCTTACAGCTGTTGAGGAAGCCAGTCTCCTGGACCCACCTGGCTTCCCTCGTCGCTCCCAGCTTCCTTCCCTGTCTTCTGGCAGGTACGCTGTGATCCGATTCAACCAGTACTTCAAGGTAAAGCCTCAAGTGTCGGCCTTGGAGATGCCAAAGTGACTGGCCTTCCTGCTCTTCTCTGGCCAGATTGGTTCTCCAGGGCTCACTTCTGCTCTGGGGACTACGCCCTTGGACAAGGTGGGAGAGGGGACAGGTGGGTGTCCTCAGAGAAGGCCACCAGTGGATGCCACTGAAGACCTCCTTCTTCTGTTTGGAGGAGCTGACAGGGTCCCCTTCACCTGGCAAGGCTGGGGAGGAAGTGCCTGCTGACAGCCAGGGCCTGGCCCATCACCCCGTGGGAAGCACTGCCTTCCCAGCCCAGGGCTGCTGGAACTTGGGCTGCCTTAGATGTGTCTTTGGCCCTTCCTGGTGGGGGGAGGGGGAGGGCTCCTTTCTACCTCCAGTGTACCAGCCTTCAGCCCATCTCCCCTGCATGTCCCATGTGGGAGGTGCTGAGCCCTGAACCAGCAGGATGTTAACTCTGACAGCCAGATGTGCATAAATTATCCTGAGGGAAGGGGTCTACACTGAGCAGGACACTTGGCCAGCAGCTGCCTCATCTGAGACCCCTGACATTTTCCAAGCCAGATCCCACCAGATCCCCCTTCCCAAGCCTCACCCAGGAGACTTGCCCCTCTCCAGGGCCCTTGCTGCACCTGCTCCTTCCCTTTGCAACCTGCTAGGGAAGAGGGAATGCCAAGCCCTGGGTCTGCAAACCCGACCCTGCTCTGGCTTCTCTGGAGAGGATGTCCAAGGGTGGCGTGGCCACAACCAGAGCCAGCATCCTCCTGCCTCGTTCCCTCCCGTGGCTTCCAGGCCCTCCCAAGGGTCTATCACTCCATCTTCACCTTCTGTCCTGAAGACCCAAGGCTTCCCACTTGGGAATGACCAGTGGGAGTCAAGGTGCTGGAGGCCAGGGACCTCCAGGGCTCGGCTCGGGGGAGCCTGGGCAGGACTGGATATTGAAGGTGCTGACTGAGCTCCCTGCCCTTTACACTCAACAGAGTACACCTCCCTTCTGTCCTCACAGCTAGCTCCTCAGAGCCTCCTGGCTCTGGCTCATAAAGTAATTCATTTGTAAATTATCATGGTTTTCTGCATTAAAATGCTCATTTCTGGACTTTTCTGTGTCTGAGGAACAATAGTGAGGCTTGGCTTGGGTGGCTGGTACTCCTTTGGGAAAGGGACCAAGGCGTGCTCCTCCCTGCTTTCTCCTTGGGCTTCAGTCCACGCTGAAGTCCGTGTAGCAGTAGCCTGAAGGCTTCCCACACTGTACCCCCTGCTTCCCTCCACCTTTCAGAAACCCAGGCTTCTTGGACCTGGAGGGAGCAGGTATTTCAGCTTCTGTACCTTTGACCATCTTGCTAGAATCAGCTGACCTTGGAAGAGCGTTGCTTAGGCTGTGGATTACAAGAGTTTTGGCCAACCAAGCAAAAGCCAGTGAAACCCTGAGGAGAAGTGCTCAGACCTCCCTCTGTGATCCTCTCTTGCTCCCAGCTATTGGGAAGGGAAAAGGGGCTGCTCTGGCTGACTGCAGGCCAAGAGTCAATTTCTGGAATCAATGTCACTTTCTCAGAAGGCCTGAGAGAGGGAAGAACAGAAACTGAAAAGGTGAGAATATTGCCAGTGTCCTTAAATGCAGCAGTGACAACAGGGCAGCCACCTGTCAGGTAGACTCTGGTTGTTTGGCTTGTGCCATGGCAACCACTGGAGCAGGCACTGGCAGCTGGGGCCTTGGAGAGCATGGGATCTAGTGTAGTCAGACTGGCCATGGAGTGAGGGGAAAGACATGCCCAGGCCTCAGGATGGTGCCAGGGCTGGTGAGGAGGGGCCCACAGAGTCACTGGGGTCCAGTGGCATGGACACAACCTGCCTGTGGTCTACACAGTAGTGTCCACCCTCCTTGTTCCCCTCACAGCCATCTCTGCAGCGGAGGGCAGGATTAACCACTGTGGAGTCTGCTTCATTTCTTGCCACCTGGGGCCTATCCTGTCACCTCATGGAAACAAGTATTGCAGTGGTGAACAGGGAGTGGCTGGGACAGGGCCTCCTGGGGTTTTGTCCTGTACCTCTAAGGCCCTGATCACCATCCCACAAACCCCTCCCACTGCCTTCTTAGAGGAAACACCCTGTTCCTCTAACCCTCTGGGGAGTGGAGCAGGGGACACAGCGACAGCACCCCTCCCCCACAGAGCCTGTGTCCTATCACTGTGATGGGCACCTCCAATCACTGCCACCCCTGACTGGCACCTGCCCTCCAGCTGAGCACTAGGTCTCAGGCCCTTTCTGAGCCCCTCAGCAGGAACTCCAGGCTAAGGTTCACCTTCCCAGCACTGACCCTTGGCCTGCAGGAGAGCCAGGTAGGAGCAGAGAACAGTTTGGGGCTCTGCATTCCTGGTAATGACCAGGACATACTGTTCCTGGCCTCTGCAACCCACCTGACCCTGTCCATCCTCTCATGGGGCAATAGGTGGAGCTCCAGCCAGCCTAAGAGGACACAGTGACTAGCTCAGCAGCCGGAGTGAGGAGGGCAGGACAAAGACCTTTGGCAGTGCTCCCTCTGCCCCCAAGGCCAGAGGTTCTGGTAGCAGAATTCGGGACTGTTAGGGAATCCCCAGGAACATGCTAGGATTTGGTTTGGAAGGAGGGAGAGTGGTCTGATTGGGGACGGAGGAGATGGACCTCAGAATTGAGCTAGGCAGCTCTCCCTGGTGGCCACTAGGGGGTGACTAAAAGGACGAAGTAGCCTGGCTGCTCCTCTCACTGGCACCAGCCACACAGACCAAGAGGCTGAGCCCTGTTGTTTGTCCCCGCTGGTGGAAGACACAGTGTAGGGAGGACAGAGAAGGAGGCCAGAATTCTGAGGGACCAGGCTAGGAAAACCAGCAGTTGGGATGATCCCCAGATCAAATGGCCGGGACCCTAATCTTAGGGAGTTGCTGGTTTGTGGTCCTGGAACCCACCCTTACCTACCTTCTCTCACAGCCACTCTCCAATTTAGAAATCCCTCCCCCAGTATTTGGGCCTCTGATTAAATACTTCTGGTGTTCAGGAGCTCATTCTACTTCTGGACATCTTTGTTGAAAAGTTCTTTGTTGAGTCATAATAGTAGTGACCCTAGAGGCTGTCATCTGAGACCAAGTTTAATCTCACAAACTACGTATTTTGGCAACTTTGAAGAAAGTGATCTTTTCCTTCCTTCCCTACCTTAGTCTCTTCTTTTCTGAACTAGACCTCCCTAGTCCCTTTGACTGTTCCTCTAAGAATATACCCCCAGGATTCCTTCAGTTCTCCTCCAGACAGGATGTCTGCTTCCCTCCCTCCTGCCAGGTGACAATGGCCTCTTCCATTGAGGGGCTAGGACTGAAGGCCTGTGTGATATACACTGGCCCGTTTTTGTTGTGAACATAAGCCTCTGTTAATCCAACCCAAGTCTCTTTCACAGGAATTGTTATTTAGCTTTGCTGCCTACATTCTATACTGATGGGATTAACTTTTTAACCACAAGACTTGTTTTTTATAGATCCTCATTAATACACATTTTGAAGATTTTCAATCTTTCATTCAGCTCCTTCAGGCCTCTTATTTCTTCTGTGATGGCTAGGCCTTTGAAATTCTTATTCAAAGCATAAGGTAAGAGAGTAAGCCTTGACGTACAGCATTAGAAATCCTGTTTCTTTGATCAGTGCAGGGGCTTCAGGGTGTTGGTATATGAATGCTTTTCTGAGTCCACAGCTTTTATTAGATTCTCAAAGGGTTCCTCCCAAAAAGGACAAGGACCCTGGAGAAGGACCCCTTGTTCTCAGTTGAGGATAATGAAGCCCAAAGAGAGCTGACCTGCTTCTTGGCTCCTTTTGCAATGCTCTTATAGGACCCCAGCTGGGCTCTTCCAGGCCTGGTGTCTGACACTCCTACAAACTGCCACCAGGGAGCAGCACTGCCCCAGCTTGGAGGCACTCAGGAACTCTAGCCTTAGGCCAGCCTCCCTCCCCCCAGCGCAAGTGCCAGATTCTGAAATGGTCTCTTTATTATGCCATCAGAAAACAAATGTGCTGGTTAAATTACTCATCATTATCTTATTATTAACAAAATAAAGCACTGTCTATGTTTACAGTCATAAAAAAGAAACAGCCTGGAGAGAAGTGGGAGCTATGGGGAGGTGAGAAGATGGAGGGCCACACAGACTCCACATCTGGCCCTATGGGCTTTGGGGTTCCCACCCTGATCCAAGAGCTGTTCCAGATCTTTGGAGCTAGGCGCCAATTGGCTTTGATTTTCTTAGGGAAACTTGTGAAGCTGATCAGGAAGGAGACTGGGTTCCCTAGTATGGAGCAGGGAAAGGAAGGGCAGGCCGGCCTGGGAGTATGAAAACAGGAACAGGGAGCCACCCACCCCATGCACATGAGGGAGGGATGGAGACCAGCTGCCATGGGGGCCCCTCTGAAGGGCCTCTGTCACTGACAAAGAGGGGCACCATCAATCCTCCTGCCCCCACTCCTGGGATACAGGCTGGGACCAGGGCCCGGGGCACCAGGACAAAGCCCCTTGGAGGCTGAGGCACATTCTCATGCTGCTCAGAGCTAAAAATGGCTCCGTGGGAACTGACTGGCAGAGCCAGGGAGGGAGTGAAGGGGCAGGCAGGGGGTCAGGAAGGCTGCAGGGCCACTGGCAGGCCCCAGCCTGCAGAGACCCAGTGAATCCAGAGGGCACCATGGGGAGGGGGAAGGGACAGACATAGAGAAAGAGAGAAACAAAGAGGGCCTTGCAGAGAGACAATTTGTCGATGAATGGATGAAAATGCGTGCATGTGCACACAAGCCAGAGGCACCATGGGCTAGGCAGAGAGAGATGGCTAGGGACAGCAGGCCATTTTGCACGAAGTACAAAGTGATCCTGGTGACAAGAGGAGTGATCTGGGGGTGTATAGGAAGGGGTGCTGGTCCCACAGTGGCTGGCTTGTCCAGCCAGGACAAGAATGGAAACAAAGCATGTGACCCCAGGGAGACAGGTGTGTGCTGCCATACCCCTAGGTAGGTAGATCTGCAAGAGAGGAGAGGGTCATCCAGTGTCCCTGGCTATTAGCCCCAGGGCCAAGGAGCTCAGCCAGCTCCGCCCATCACCACCATGCAAAGCCGCCTGTCTAGGCTGGTAGCTCCTCAGGTGTGACCGCAGGTGTGGTGGGGAGGACTTTCCCCTTGTGAATGTATCTACAAGTGCACAGCTTTGCCCATCACCTGGGCATGCTCAAATCCAAGTACCAACATAGTCCAGGCCGGCTGGCTGCGCCCATCAGGGTGAGGACAAAGTCTTCCACAGTGGAGAAGGGGCCAGGCCAGCAGCTGGATATCAGTCTGTGAGCACCACCAACTCCCCGTCGCTCTTCTCTTCACCCTCTGAGTCCTCGTCCTCGCTGTACCGGTACATCTCGCCATCAGCCACTGAGTGCCTGTCATCTGTACCCTCACCCTCCTCCCTGAGGCTGCAGGTATTGACAATGACGGGCATGTTGGGATCCAGGCTGTGGGGAACAGAGTGCTCCACCAGTGGCTGGGCCAGGGGCATGCCTGCCACCCGAGGGAACAGGACATCGGAGGCGCTCATCTGCACCTGGCCAGCCTGTGAGCTGAGAGGCAGAAAAAGGAATGTTACAGACGTCTGTGCCCTGCACTGGCCACCAGCCCGGCTACCCTCCAGGCATTTGCGGGGCGTACACTCCTACCCCACCTGTCTTGGCTCGGTGACTCACACGCCCTGACCCTTGATGTGCTTCCTGATGGCAAAATTCACTGCCAGCTACTGCCCCACAGATCCAGGGCCACAGGCATATTCTCAGGGGATCACATGTGATTCCCATTTTGCGAAACTGTACGTTTGAAATTCCCCCGTTTAAATAGCCCAGTTTACAGGATCCACAAGGGTGCTTGCCTTAGTCAGTTCAGGAATCTTCCTGTAGGAAGACTGGTACCTCTGAATTTGTACTGAGCTCATCAGGATGAGATTTACAGGTACCTCTCTCCAGGTATCTAAGTGGTCAGTCCTCACAATCATACACCTATGTTCTCAGCCACAAAGTGCTCGCCATAGTCTTACATAGAGTCTTTCTCCATCGTCCCTGGAATCACTCTCACAGGCCCAGCCACCTATGTGTGTGCATATATAGGCTCACAGTCCACAGGCACACACAGCACCCGTCACACACACAGGCCAGCCACACACTGACATCCAGTCTCTCACCACAGCCACACACACCGTCACTGGCCGCCTGGGGAGGGCCTGCTCACGGGATCACGTAGCTCTGGCGGGCATCCTGACGCCTTGTCCTCATCAGGGCCTTGTACTCCCCCACACGCAGTCGCTTGCCCTCCACGATGCAGGTACGCTTGGGCCGTGGCTTGTATTTGTAGTCTGGATACTTCTCCAGGTGCTGCCGGCTCAGCCGTGCCTGCTCCTCGTAGTAGGGCTGCTTCTCCTGGTTGGTCATGGACTTCCAGCGAGAGCCTGGCAGAGGGTGGGCAGTCAGGACTGGACTCTGCTGATTACCCCCAACCCCCTGCCGACCCTGGAAGCCCTGAGGAAGACTCCGATCTTCAGGAGGGGTCAACGATATCTGTGTAAGCACTTAGCAAGGACCTGGGCCAGGATAGGTGCTCCTGGGTGTTGACCAAATGAACAAAGCTGGCAAGCATTGGCATATACACCTGCCAGTTTCACACTCAGCACCTGCTCACATCCCAAACAACCCAGTAACTTCCAGGACACACTAACAAAAATGTAGCCACCCAGGCTACCAACAATCCAGACAGGCTCCCTGCTCAGGACAAAATAACTGGTGCCAGGCTAGGGGTGTAGCTCAGTAGTAAGGGAGCTTGCTTAACATGTGTGAGGTCTTGAGTCCATTCCAGCATCACAAAGACAAAACAAAAATCCTAGTGTCCCAGACAAGAGACTTGCACTGACATTGGAGGGGGTCCCAGCCTTGAAAACCACCACCTTCTTTTAGATGGTCCTGCCTATATCCTTCCTCAGCCCCAAATAGGACACCAGTCTTTCCTGTTTTCTGCCATAGCCAGCTCCAGAGGTCTGAGCAAACAGTAGAACAGATTAGGGAGAGATTAGGGGGTTAAAGAATAAGCGTGCATGTGCGCATACAACTTGAGTTCTAAGGGGAGGTGTTATCAGAAGAACCCTACGATGGTACAAGATTCCTGGGCCCAGCTGACTGCTACACCCCCAGCATTCCCATGATTCTGCTGGAATTCAACATAGCGTGGAATATCACCAAGCAAGCCCCAGGCAGACCCAGCAGGCTCCTACAATCAGGTCCTACTGGACTATGGCCCCAGACACACCGAGCCTCAGAGGGCCCACCCACTGGCCCTCACCAAGGATCTTGCTAATGCTGGAGTTGTGCATGTCCGGGAAGGCTTGGAGGATCTTCCTCCGCTCATCCTTGGCCCACACCATGAAGGCATTCATGGGTCTCTTGATGTGGCTGCTGTTCCGGGACTCAGGGAAGTGGCGAGAGCCTAGGGGACAAGGTCAGAGTCAGCCAGATAGCTGGTCTGAAACGGGCAGAGCTATATCCCCTATGTAACCACCAGGAGGCGGTGAGGAGGCTCTGAGCAGAGGGAGTGGAAGAAACTAAAGGCCAGAGAGGCCCGACACAGCCAGAGAGAGGGGAAGAGGACAGCAGAGATTTAGGGCCCAGCAGAGGTGCAGAGAGAGAGACAGTCACAAGATGCAGGAAAGCAGACCCAGAAACAGAGCCCAAAAGAGACACCCAAAGACAGTGGGAGCACAATCACTAGGAAGGACCTCAGAGATGGAAGAGGGAAGGAAGGAACCAGGGACAGGCATGAACCTTAGCAGGGGATTCAGGGGTAGCCCTCTACCCACCAGCCCAGTGCCAGAGCGCTCACCGTCCATGTCGCAGCTCAGCATGGCTTCTTCCAGTGGGTGCACACAGCTCTCCTCCAGCCGCTCCTTGGCTGGGGACGAGTCCAGACTGATGAGGTCCTATGGTCGACAGAAGTGACTTGAGCCTCAGAATTCCCGTGTCTCACCCTCTCCTCCCAGTTGCCTGTCCCTTCTGTGGTTTCTGTCTCTGCATCTTCTACCACCTGCTCCTGCCCTCAGGAGCAAGACAGTGGGGTCCATACCTTGCGGAAGGGTGGGTTGGGGGAGCTTTCCAAGGCTCCACTGTGGCTGTGTAGCAGCTGTCGAGCATCCTGGATGGCTTTGGTGACAGCATCCCCTTCACCAAGGAAGCCTGCAAGAGAAGAGGAGGAAGACAAGGGTGGGAGAGCTGAGAGTGTGAGGTGAGCCCAAAGTCATTTAGTTTCACACCATGCTTCTCCTAAATTACTGGATTAGTGCTCCCCGCCCCGCACACACATCCCCACAGGGACGCCACGTACAGTGGCTGCTGTGCAGTGTCAATAGACTGGGAACTGTGCAGCTCAGCAGCCTGAATCCAATGCTGGAATGCCCAGACAAATCAGACAGGGGAGAGGAGGAAAGGGCTTTCTAAGAGCAAGTCTATACCCTTGATTTAAAAAACAAACCCAGAGAGGGAAGGGACAGACCCAAAGTCACATCCTGCACCTTGGCTGTCCCCTAGGAGGGCAGATAGAAAAGCTTACCTAGAGGCAGGCTGGGAGGGCTGGACTGGAGGTCCCGCGTGGGGGCTCCATGGCTGGGGGGGCGGGGCCCACAGTTGCTCATCTTCAGATTCGGGGAGCTGGAGGTGGTGGGCAGCTCAGGAGCCTTGGGCTTGGCTGTGAGGTTTAGGGGCTGGGAGGGCTCCTGAGGGAGATCCAAAAGGTCAAGAGGGTGAGAGACATCAAAGGACACCCCACCAAGGGACAGAGAAGACACAGGGGAAGATGAGCCAAGCATCCCCAGAGCAGCCAGGAGAGAAAGAAAAAGGGAAGAATAAAGAAGGGCAGCCAGCTGGCCAGTGCTAGGGAGGGAGCCCAAGGTCGGCAGCAGGGACAGTACCTGCAGAGGGTGGTGGGTGGCCAGGGCCCCAGGCCTCTTCACCACAGGGGCAGGAGGGCTATGCAGCAGCTGCAGCTGGTACTCCACTGTGGAAAAGCGGCAAGGGGAAAAGTCCTGGATGAGCACAGAACAGCAGACACCTGCTTGACGGGGTCCTAGCACCACAGGTGGGCAAAGACTTGGAGCTGGACCAGCTTGGTTCCAACCACTGCTTCCCTCCCCAGCCCCAAGGCACCACTTGAGAGACCTCCTGTCCCCTCCTTCCCCACTGTCCTCCATGAAGATCAGCTTTTTTACCCTGTATTGTCCTTCCCAATCCACTCTAAAGAGTTTTCCATGGTGCAGTGAGGGCAGGTACATCATCTATTCATTCAACAGACACTTATACCTACTATGTGTAGGAGCAACACGGAGCTACCTGTTGGAGGCATGTCTCATGTACATTATCCCTATAATACAGTGTGTAGCATATAATAAGTGCTCAATATGTCAATGTCTCATTTTATGGATAAAGAAACTGACACTGTAGCAGTTCAGTGGGCACAGAGCTATTAAATGGCAACACAGGGATTTGAACCCAGGTCCTCTAGACTCCACAGATCATCCTTTCCCTCAACGTACTCTATTTCACTCTCCCAAGTAGGCATGGTATCAAGGAGGTGTGACAGTTCAGGCAAAAAGATAAGCGCTGTGTACGAAATCACTAACCACATGGCAGGTCGTGATAAGGACCCACAGGTGATATGTTAGGGAACTTTGTTCTAGCTAAGGTGTCTGGAATAGGCTTCCTGGTAGAGGTGAGATGTGAACTAGTGCCTGCAGGATGGGTAGGATTCACACAAGTAGAGATCTGGGAGTTTGGACTCCAAGCTGCAGGCTACAGGGTACCATATAAGGCTTGTGGAACAGGAAGAGTTAGACCAGAGGGGTTGGTTTTACAGTTGATTCTGCTCCTGGGACAGTTATGGGCCCTGATCCCATACTAGCAATTCCATCTGTCTCTGTACCCACCATCACTGCCCAATTTTAGGTGCCATCCCCTATGGCAATGATTATTTCAAGAACCCCCTTGTGAATCCAGTCAGTCCCCCTCCAGTCCCTACCACTCACAGACAGAGATGACTCATCTGCTACTCAGATGTTCAAATGTACCTCACACCCTACAAAATAAATCCTAGTCCCCATGCTGCATTCCCCTCCCCAAACATATCTCAAACCCCTGTCATGAACTCCTCTCAATCCCTTTACAGCATCTGCCTCAGAATACAGGATCTCTGCCTGGATCATCCTTTTCCAAGCCCTCTACCCAAGCTCCCAACTTCACCTCATACATCCTACCTATTCTCCCAGGACTCAGTCAAATGCTATCTCCTCAGGATGCCTTCACAGACTCTCTGATGACTGGTATCCTTCTTTCTCTCTGACTGTAAATTCCCTGAGCATGTGGGTGAATGTTTGGCTACTGAGCCCCAGTCCAGTGGTAGGAATCTCCACCTCAATCTGGTTACCACATAATGCTGCCTGAACATTAAGAATACTTCAACTGAGAAAACTACAGGTGATCAAAACTTTCAAAAAAAAAAAAAAAATGACTTGGACTCAGATGCACAAATCCCCATGCAGAAACACAAGAAATATGAAAAAACAAGGTGATGTCTCCTCCAAAATCAACAATTCCATAGTAATAGACTCTAAAAAAAAAAAAAAATGAAGCACTGAAATTGCAAAGAACTCAAAAAAATGATTATAAGAATTATCAATGAAATAGAAGAGGACACGTATAAACACCTGAATGAATTCAAAGAGAATACAAATAAACTGCTGAATGAAATAAGGAAGACAATGCAGGATATGAAAGAGGAATTCAATGAAGATATAGAAAGCCTAAAAAACTCTGAAAATGGTAAGTCAGATAAAAACTCAGTTGAAAGCCTCACCAATAGACTGGATCAAGTTGAAGACAGTCTCAGAGTTTGAAGACAAACAAGGTAAATGAATTAGAACATGGAGATAAAGACAAAGGTAAAAAAAAGAAATATGTAAGACTTCTAGGATACAATTAAGAGACCACAACCTACAAATCATGGGCATAGAAAAGAAGAGGCATGGAAAATATATTCAATAAAATAATAGCAGAATATTTTCCAAGTCTTGAGAAAAAGGGTCATCCAAATACAGGAGGGCTTTTAGGACACCAAACAAACAAAATCAGAAAAGAAACTATGTCATATTATAGTTTTAAGTATACAGAGCAAGAAAACTGCAAGAGAAGTACCAAGTCACAATTAATAGCAAACCCATCAGAATAACAGAAGATTTCTCAAGAGAAACTCTAAAAGCAAGGAGGGCATGGAATAATGTATTTCAAGCCCTGAAAGAAAATGACTAGATTACTAGATTACTGTATTCAGCAAAGCTATCCTTTATAATTGAAGAAGAAATAAAAACTTTCTATGATAAATAAAAAGTAAAGGAATTAATGACCACTAAACCAGAACTGTAGAAGATATTTAAAGAAATCCTACATGGAGAAGAATCATGAAAATATGGGCAAGAATTAATCTGACTAGATGAGTAAATAAGAAGACTAGGAAAGAATCAAACATTACAAAACAACTAAATGACAAGAATTACTACATACCTGGCAATAGTAACTCTGAATGTTAATGATCGCAAATTCTTCAATCAAAAGACAGACTGATGAACTGGATTAAAAAAAAAAAACAAAAAAACTAGACCCAACCATTTGTTGCCAACAAGAAATGCACTTCACTGGTAAAGACAAACACAGGCTTAAAGTGAAAGGATAGAAAAAGATTTTCCAAGCAAACAGAACTTAAAAGCAGACAGGAGTACCTGTACTCATATCTGACAAAGATGACTTCAAACCAAAGTTATTCAGAAGAGACAAAGAAGGTCACTTCATATTGATAAAGGGAGCAATCCATCAGGAGGATATAAGAATTGTAAACACACACAGATCATCGGCACACCCAACTGCATAAAGCAAACAGTGCTGGACATTAAAGCACAAATAGATCCCAAGGTAATCATCGTGGGTGACTTTACCACCCCACTCTCACTAATGGATAGATAAAAAAATCAACAAACACTAGCAGAGTGTCTCAGAGGTAGAGTGCCTGCCTTGCAAGAGTGAGGCTTTGAGTTCAAACCCCAGTGCCACCAAAACAGATAAATAAAATGAATACCAGCAACTATTTCACACAAGAAATTTTTTTTTTAAAAATCAACAAAGAAACTTCAGAATTAAATGACACCATAGATCAAATGAACTTAACAGTCATCCATACAATATCCCGCCCAACAGCTACAGAATACACATTCTTCTCAGCAGTCCAGGGAACTTTCTCCAAAATAGATCATATTTAAGGACATAAAGCAAGTCTTACACATCAAAGGACTGATAACCAGAATATATAGGGAACTTATAAAACTAAATTCTACCAAAATTAATGAACCAATAAAGAAGTGGGCAAGTGAACTAAACAGAACTTTCTCAAAAGAAGAAATTCAAATGGCCAAAATACACATGAAAAAATGCTCACCATCTCTAGCAATAAAGGAAATGCAAATTAAAACCACGCTAAGATTCCACCTCACCCTGTTAGAATAGCCATCATCAGCAACAACAACAACAACAGGTGTTGGGAGGATGCGGAAAAAGGAACCCTTTACACTGTTGTGGGAATGTAGACTAGTACATACCACTCTGAAAAAATTTGGAGGCTACTTAAAAAGCTGAACATTGATCTACCATTTGATCGCAGAATAACTCTGGGATATACCCAAAAGACTGTGACACAGGTTACTCGAGAGGCACCTGCACACCATGTTTATTGCGGCAATTCACAAATAGCCAAGTTATGGAAACAGCCAAGATGCCCCACCACTGACGAATGGATTAAGAAAATGTGGTATCTATACACAATGGAATTTTATGCAGCCATGAAGAAGAATGAAATGTTACATTGCTGGTAAATGGATGGAATTGGAGAACATCATTCGAGTGAGATTAGCCTTGGCCCAAAAGACCAAAAATCGTATCTCTCCTCATATGTGGACATTAGATTCAAGGCAAACACACAAGGGGATTGGACTTTGAGCATGATAAAAGCGAGAGCACACAAGGAGGGGTGAGGATAGGTAAACACTAAGAAACTAGCTAGCATTTGTTGCCTAAACGCAGAGAAACTAAAGCAGATACTTTAAAGCAACTGAGGCCGAATAGAAGGGGACCAGGAACTAGAGAAAGGTTAGATAAAAAGAATTAACCTAGAAGGTAACCCCACGCACAGGAAATCAATGTGAGTCAAGCCCTGTATAGCTATCCTTAGTCAACCAGCAAAACACTTGTTCCTTCCTATTATTGCTATATTCTCTCTTCAAACAAAATTCATAGATGTAAGGGCAAAATAGTTTCTGCTGGGTAGCGAGGGGGTAAGGGGGTAGAGGGGGGCAGGAGGGTAAGGGAGTGGGTGGGGGAAGAGGGGAGCAATGACCCAAACATTGTATGCACATTTGAATAAAATAAAATTTTTTTAAAAAAGGACATAAAGCAAATCTTAATAAATACAAGAAAACTGAAATAACTTTCAGTATTTATTTAGACCACGATGGAATAAAACCAGAAATCAACCTTAAGAGAAACTACAAAAATACACAAACACATGGAGACTAATCAATACATTTTTGAGTGATCAGTGAATCATTAAAGAAGTAAGAGGGGAAATCAGAAAATGCCTAGAATCAAATGAAAATGAAAACACAACTTACCAGAAACTTTGGGACATGGCAGTGCTAAGAGGAAAGTTTATAGCTATGAGTGCCTACGTTAAAACAAACAAACAAAAAACAGAGTGCTGCCTAAAATCCATATGGAAGCAAAAAAGCCCCCCAACCCCAAAGCGATCCTGAGCAGAAAGAGCAATGCTGGAGGTATCATAGTACCTGGCTTCAAATTATACTACAGAGCCACAGCAACAAAAACAGCATGGTACTGACAGACACATAGACAAAAGGAATAGAATAGAGGACCCTCCAAAAGCCCACACAGCTACAAGCTTTCAACAAAAGTGCCCAAAACTTTTACCAGAGAAAAATCACCTCTTCAACAAATGGTATTGGAAAAACTGAATATTCACACGTAGAAGACTAGAATGAGATCCCTATCACACCAAAATTAATTTAAAATTGATTTCTGTACCAAAATCAATTCAAAATTGATCAAAGACCTTAATGTACCTGAAACTTTGAAACCACTATAGGAAATCACTTCGAGACTAGGCATAGGTAATGACTTTCTGACTAGGACTCCAAGAGCTCAGGAAATAAGAATAAGAATTGACAAATGGGATTGCATCAAATTTAAAAGCTTCTGTAGTCAGGTGCCAGTGGCTCACACCTGTAATCTTAGCTGCTCAAGAGACAGAGATCAGGAGGATCACAGTTCGAAGCCAGCCTGGGCAAAAAAAAAAAAAAAGTGAGCCCCTATCTCAAAAATACTTAATACAAAATGAAAAGGGCTGGTGGAGTGGCTTAAATGGTAGAGCACCTGCCTAGTAAACATGAGGCCCTGGGTTCAACCCCCCAGTACCACCAAAGAAACAAAACAGCTTCAGCACACCAAAGGAAACAGTTAACAGAATCAAGAGACAAATGCCCACATAATGGGAATAATCTTTTGCCAGTATTCATGGAGAAAGAAGGATAATAACTCCAGACTATATCAAAGATCGAAGAATTAAGACAACCGAAAACTAACAATAATCTGGGCTGGCAGAGTGGTTCAAGCAGTAAAAAGTACCTGCCTATCAAGAGTGAGGTCCTGAGTTCAGACCCTGGTGCAACTAAAAAAAAACCAATAATCCAATTAATAAAAGGGCAAATGAATTGAACAGACAATTCTCAAAAGAAGAAATCCAAATAGCCAATAAATACATGAAGAAATGGTCGAGATCTAAAATGGAGGCCCTGCAACGGTGAACCTAAATCAAAACTTCTCTCAATAAAGAAGAAATTCAAATGGCCGAAAACACAGTAAAAATCCTCAATCTCTTAATCAATAAAGGAAATGCAAATTAAACACCTACGCTAGATTCTACGCTCACGCCTGTTAATAGCCATCCACACGAAATCAACCACCAACAACAGGTGTTGGTGAGGATGCGGGAATAAAGGACCTTTACCGTTGCTGGGAATTGTAGACAGTACAACCACTCTGGAAAAAAATTTGGAGGCTACTTAAAAATGCTGGAGACATCGATCTACCATTTGAATCAGCAATCCACTCTTGGGGATATACCCAAGACTGTTACTTCCAGAGGCACCTGCACACCATGTTTATTGCGGCACTATTCACAATAGCCAAGTTAGGAAAATGCCAAGATGCCACAGCACTGACAAAAGGATTAAGAAATGTGGTATCTATACACAATCGGAATTTTATGCAGCCATGAAGAAGAACGAAATGTTATCATTCTCTGGTAAAGGATGGAATTGGAGAACATCATACTGAGTGAGATTAGCCTGGCCCAAAAGACCAAAAATCGTATGTTCTCTCCTCATATAATGGACAATTAGGGCAAACACACATAGGGATTGGACATGACACATGATAAAAGCGAGAGCACACAAGGAGGGGTGAGGATAGGTAAGACACCTAAAAAACAGCTAGCATTTGTTGGCCCTTAATGCAGAGAAACTAAAGCAGATACCTTAAAGCAAAAACTGAGGCCAATAGGAGAGGGGACAGGAAGATAGAAGAAAGGTTAGATCAAAAAGAATTAACCTAGAAGGTAACCCCTCGACGCACAGGAAATCAATGTGAGTCAATGCCCTGTATAGCTATCCTTATCTCAACAGCAAAACCCTTGTTCCTTCTATTATTGCTTATACTCTCTCTACAACAAAATTAAAATAAGGGCAAAATAGTTTGCTGGGTATTGAGGGGGGGAATGGAGGGGGTGGAGTGGGTGGTAAGGGAGGGGGTGGGGGCAGGGGGGAGAAATGAACCAAGCCTTGTATGCACATATGAATAATAAAAGAAAAATGAAAAAATAAAATAAAATAAAATAAAATAAAATAAAATGGAGGTCCTGAAAGGCCACATAGCAAATTAATGGATGAGAGCAGATCCAGGGCTCCCTCCCTAACCTTAGGATCAACCCTGCCTCAGTGCAACACCACCTCCCCTCCACTCACCTGGTTTGCAGGGGATGGGCTGAATAGGCAAAGCCAGCTGGGAGTCAGGGGTGACAGGCAGAGGCTGGTGGCTTGGGGGGAAGGCTGGGATCATGACATAAGGCATGTTGACCTGCTGAAGGCAAAAAACCCTGTGTGACTCCCTCGGGGGCTCAAAGAGCTCCCCAGCTGTGGTCAGCCCAGGACACAGGGTAGGGGCAATCTTCAAAAGGACCCACCTGACCCCAGACCACCTTTGTCTCCCTGTCCTTGAATCTCAGCTGGGAAAGAGAACATTCTGGGTGTCCCTCCTTAACAACAGAAAATGTAGACAGGGAGGGACTGGAGCAGAAATAAGGCCTCTTCTTCTGGGTGTGGCTGGAGTGATCCTGCTCTGGGCAACCTCAGGTCGATTTGCACCCAGTCCCCAGCACCCGTGCCAGCTGGCATTAGCCCCCTCCACCTGCCATCCCATCATCACCTGGATCTGCTGCTGGAGGAGGTTGATCTTATGCTGCTGCTGAATCAGCTGCTGCTGCTGCTTGGCGATCTGGTGAGGGACAGTATCAGCAAGGTGGCCATGGACATGAGCCTGGGCCCCTCCTCCCCAGAGCCTGCCCACCCTAACCCCGACCTCCACACCATGGAGACCAACCATGGAGAGCTGGGAGGAAGTGGCAGGACATCAGTCCCAGAACATATTCTCCCTTTGTGGGTACCCACCCTTCCCTCATAGGACCAGTGATGGAGACTGGACAGGAGCAGTGAGCTTCCCAGAGTCCCTTCAGCACCAAGGGCTACAAATCACCAGAGCTGGGGACCCTAGATCCCCGGCCCAGGCCTCAGCTGGCACCTGCTCCTGCTGCTGCCGGGCCAGCTCCATCTGCTGTTGCTGTTTCTCGAAAAGCATGGCAGCCATGTTCTTCTGCTCTGAATGGGCTGTCAGGAGCTGGTCCCGTAGGGTAGACAGTTGGTGGATCATGACCAAAAGCTGGAGTTCCTTCTCTGCCAGGCTCTCTTGAGTCCCTGCTCCGCAGTGAAATTGCCACCATGGAGGTTTTGTGAGTTCATCGGTCCACCCAGCCACCCACCCACCCATCTGACATTTGCCAAGCAATTGCTACATCCTAGGGATCCTGTCAGGGAACTTCCCAACTTCTCTGCACTTGACATTGGGTTTTTAATCTATAAACAGGCATGATAATCGTCACATCACTGTATTACTATGAGGTTGAAGATAAACGCCTGGAAAGATCATCTAGGCTCTGATGATGGTCCTCAACCAATAAGTATTAACTTGCTTCTCTGCCCAGGAATTATTATTAATTATTACTATTATTAATTATTATTAGCTGTCTGGTGTGGCAGCTTATTCCTAAGTGCCAGGCTGCAGGTCATTTGTATCAGAATCACTCAGGGCGCCTAGGCGCCTGTTCCCTGGGATTCTCATTCAGTAGGTGGGAGTGCACCCTGGCCATGGGCACAGGTTTAAGTTCTTTCTGTGGGAATTTAAACTGGAAAAATGGTAACAGAGGAAGCGAGGCAGTGACCCTGAGTAACCACTTCTTGTTCACTCTGTGAGGTCCTGGTGGCCTACAATCAATCATCTATAGTGAGTGGGATTTGCTGCTCATTTCCAAGTGAGACCCAGACAATGGCATAACAATCCTGAAGTCACAAGGGTCACTGATAACCTAAATCTACACCCACGGTAGTTACCCCCTGGCTTGAAGCCAAGCTTTTGAGGAGGGGTGGATCAGCCAGACTCTTGCTTAGGGGGCCCCCACGTGATGGATGGTGATAATACCTAGAGCCAGGCAGGAGCCAATGGACATAGGACAGATATGAGGGCACCAAAAATCCCAAGAACTGCCCTAGATATTCAGGCTGCACAGCCAGGTCTGCAGGGAAAAGGGGCTCAGACATCCCCCCTGCCCGCATTCCAAGGGGCCTCACCTTTGACATCTTTGGTTTCCACAGAGCTCCTTCCCAGAAACCGCTCCTTCCAGTCACTGCATAATAGCTTCTCGATGGCCGGCACAACTGGAAGACACAATGGGGTGAGAGGCGTCATCCTAACACCCCCACCATGTCCCCCTCTGACTGGGACAGACATCTCACCTTCTTGTAGATTACGGTTAAAGTCCAGCTTCTCCTGGCTTCCAGAAGCAGCCTCAGAGGCCGCTGGTCTCCTGGGCTCTGGGGACCCATTGCTCTCTGGAGAACCACAGTCCTGTAAGACATGCTGAATTGTCACTGCCATCCCCAAGAAAGGGGGCACAGAATGTAAGGAGGTCTGAATCCCCCCCACACCCAGGTCTTTCCTGAGAAAACCCCAGACTCCACAGGACTCCTACTGCTCCACCTTCCCAGTCCTGGCTCATACTCTACTTGATGTAGTGAAAGAACAAGAGGCTTAGAGACTGAAGTCCAGGGTCTGATCTGTCCCAGTCCCAAACTTCTCTGAACACAACTTCTTCCCTTCTAAATATGGAATACTACTACCTCCTGTATAACAGGGTTGTCGCTGGATCAAGCATCAACGTACAGGATTGAGGTTTGCCACCAGTCGGGGAGCCTGCTGTTATTCCTGCCTTCTCATACCTGCCAGTGACTTGCAGGTCCCACCTCAGCCTCCTAAGAGCTGTCCCCTCATTCTATTCTACCTATGTCCTCCCCTTCCTCTGAGGCCTGACTCCTCTAGGAAATCCTCCCTGATCACCCTCCCACACACATACATATACACTCCTCCAGGCTGGATTTCTCTTTAAAGTCCCAACACTTTCATTTTCACTCATTTGGCCTTGGCTTGTTTGTTGGGTTTTTTTTTTGAGGGCCTCATACTTGCTAGACAGACACTCTACCCCTTGAGCCACTGTCAGCCCTTGTGTTGGATATTTTTGAGATAGGGTCTCGCTGACTATTTGCCTGGGCTGGCTTTGAACCATGATCCTCCTGATCTCTGCCTCCTCAGTGGCTAGGATTACAGGTGTGAGCCACTGGCACCCGGTTTGGCTAATGATATATTTCCCTGTATATCGCCTGCATGGAATCACAGGCGTTGTGAGAGCTTCAAAAAGCCTCACTAATAGTATAGCTCAGTTCCCTCATTTTAAGGGCGAGGAATTACATGTCTTTTAACCATGATCTCACTCTAACTTAGGAAATAGGGCTGATTTTTCTCAACTTAAGTGAAAAAGGCAGTAGATTATTTTTAAGCCCAATTTTCAGCACGTACCCCATCTCTCCAACTAGTCCTCAGGAGCAAGGCCTGGGGCACCCCTGGAGGAGCGGTCACTGTCAGATGTGATTGAGTCCACATCCTGCTCTGACAGGTGGGTGATGAGCCTGATGGAGGCTGCCCTTTCCTTCCCCTCCTGCTTACCTGAGCTCAGCCTTGCCCCAGGGGTGACCTTTCTGCCACACCTGCTGCCTGGCTAGGGGAGGGTACTGCCTGCCCAGGGGCAGGGTGGACACACTGACCCAGGAGCCCCTAGGAAAGTGCTGGGCACCTGAGCTGGAGCTTGGGGATCAGTAGCATTCTGGGGTGCCCGGGCTGGGTCTCCAGGTTGGGGCTCAGCTGCAGTGGCTGCACCCTGAGGAGCCTCGTGGCAAAGCTCCTTCCTCTCCTCAGACTTGATGGTACAGTTCACCATGGTGCCAGCGCCATCCAGGGCCAGCTGCGCAGAGACTGGGCTCCGCATGGACATCCTGCAGAGGAAGAGCAGAGGGAATAAGGGGAGGCCCTTGGAGCCAAGGTATCCCTTGCTCCCCCACACCCAGAGCCTCCTGGCATCCTTCAAACAAACACACTACAAAACGCAAGCCTACCTTTGGAACCCAGAGAAAAGTTAGGATAAAGTTCTTCTATCCCTTCTGCTTTTTTGTGTTGTGTGTTTGCTGAGACAGGGTCTCCCTATGTAGCCCAGGTTGGCCTTGACCTTTCAATCCTCCAGCCTCAGCCTCCTGAGTACTGGGATTACAGCACCGTACCAACACACCCAGTCTTATTTTTAAACAGAAATGTCTAAAGATGATTGGGCCCACTCTGGCACTCCATGCCTCTTTTCATTTTTTTTCCAGTGCTGGGATTGGAACCTAAGGCCTTATACATGCTAGGTAAGGACTCTACTACTGAGCTGCACCCCAAATCCCTGCTTCTAGAAGTATTGGGGCTGATGGGCTCCCCTGAGGAGGCCAGAAGTGGCTAATGAGCTGTTTCTGAGCCCAACAGAGCTGAAGATTTTATGTGTGTTTGTCTGTATACATATGTAGTTATTACTGAAACTTTAAGAATCAAGAGATAGCACATAAAATAATAGTCTGGATTTGAATTTGCATCTCAATGACAAACTGGCTAGAATTGAGTAGCAGGAACTCCTCAGGCACAGGCTAGTTTGCCCTAGTCCCCACCATTCCCGACAACTTTGCCAAAAGGAAACCGAATGTCAACTACCCTATATAAGACATTTATTCTTTTTCCAGCGCTGAGGATCAAACCCAGGGCCTCACAAATGCTTAGCATTTGCTCTGCCACTGAACTCCACCTCTAGCCCCTTCCTGCCTTTCTTACAGTAGAGACAAGGTAAAAGTGAAATACCTCTTATATTCATGTGTCTATCAAAAGTAAAAAAAAATAAATTATAGCCCAAGAGATGACTGGCTTTAAGAAAAATATTTCCTGATACCTAGCTAGGGTCTCTGGCTGAGTGTGGCCCCTGCCAGGCACCAGCAGCATTTGTAACACTAACTGCCTGGTGTAAGCAGCTGATTCCCCTTGCAATAACCTGTGACACTGCCTCTGTTGGGCGCTGGCCTGGGCCCTCCTGCCACACCCCTGCCTGCGATGCTGAGAGGAACTGAGAAGTCTCAGGACCTTGGGGAGCAGTTTCCAGGATCATGTCAGCCTGGGACCAAAGCAGCAGGTGCCCCACTCCCAAGACACGGGGCACATATCCAGGGATAGTGTGCTCTGGGTGCCAGTGGTGCACACACAGCAGGTTCCCACTACCCATGGGTCCTGCCTTGGCTACAGGTGTGTGACTCTGGACAAACTGCACCTCAGTTCCCTCATCTATAAAACGGGTGTGACGAGAGTCCCCATTTTATTCGCAGTCGTGAGGGCGATGTGTTGCTATTTACACGGTGCCTAGGCACTAGTTAATAAGTACTGGTCTGTGGTTTGTTAAACCACTGCTCACAGAACTGCTTACAGCTGTCCCTTGGAATCTGCAGATTACTTCTATACTGAACTCACAGATGCTCACGTCTCGCCTCCAAAATGCTATAGTATTGTACATAACCTATGGAAATCATATTCCTTAAATCATGTCTAGATTACTCAGTAACTACTATGACGTAAATGCTTTGTAAATAGTTGCACTTAGGGAATAATGACAAGAAAAACATCTATACATCTTCAGCACCGATGCCAAACTTTTTGTATTTTTGATCCACAGTTGGTTGAATCCATGGATGTGCAACCCACAGTTGCAGAGGTACCACTAAGGAGAGGCAGATCATGGGTCTCACACACAAACTCACAAACCAGTCTCTGGGGGATGGGATGGAATGTCTTCTTTTTTTTTTTTCCCCTCTGGTGGTATTGGTGTTTAAACTCAGGGCCTCATGCTTGTTAGGCAGGCACTCTACCACTTGAACCACTCCACCAGCCCTTTTCTTGTGTTCAGTTTTTTGAGATAGGGTCTCTGGAACTATTTACCTAGGCTGGCTTTGAACCTCCTGATCTATGTCTCCTGAGTAGCTAGGATTACAGGTGTGAAGCAACTGGCACCGGGAGGATCTTGCAACCCACCAGGTGATTCTCACACACAGTTGGAGAAGCACTGCTAAATAAAAACTTTCAAGACTGCTTTTACATAGCACTGTAATTTGAATATGTCTCCCAAAATTTGGAAACTTAATCCCGCCCCCCCCCCTTCCACAGTATCGGAAGGCGGGGCCTAACTAGAAGTGGCTAGCTCATGAGGACTTCATTAAACAAGGGAGCTGGGACAGTCACTGGGGAAGCAGGTTTGTTATAAAAAAACTTAAAAGACTTTTGCTTTGTGGCTTTTGCACTCTTTTGCCCTTCTGCCTTGTCATGGCATGACACAGCAAGAAGGCCCACACCAGATGCCAGCCCCTTGGGCTTCCCAGCCTCTGGAACTGTAAGGGGTAAACTTTGTTCATTATAAATTACCCAGTTTATAGTATTCTGTTATAGCAGCACAAATAGATCAAGACACATGAGGATTACATACATAGGGGAAATGTAGGAGGGAAAAATCAGATATCTCCCCTTATCCTGGGGCAGGGTGTACATTCCAAGACCTTCCCAGTGGATGCCTGAAGCCTCTGTCATTGTTTTCTCTGCTTCATACACAATCTTAATGGCTTTCCCACCTTACCTTAGCACTTATTCTGCACTGTGGCCATAACTTTTGCAGTTTCAGCTGTAATACCAAAATTGGCACAAATTTCTTTTTCTTCGTAATTTCAGACAGAAAAATTCATTCCTACTGTATAGATCTACCCAACTTTAGCATACAAATTTTCTTTCATCTTTTCAATTGAAGGAAGCACCTCTCAGCTTCCTGATATCTGAATTCCAGCATCACTGCCCTTGCACTTTGGGGTATTATTAAGTAAAATAGGGGTTAGTTGAACACAAGCACTGGGATACTAAGACAGTCAATCTGATTAGTGACCCGGTGACTAATGAGCAGGTAGCGCATACGGCGTGGATCCATTGGACAAAAGGATGATTCACATCCCAGACAGCTTGAGATTTCATCAGCACAGCACACAATTTAAAAATCTATGAAGTGTTTACTTCTAGAATTTTCCTTGTAATACTTTTGGATCACAGTTGATGGTGGGTCACTGAAACCATGGCAAGTGAAACTGTGGATAAAGGGAAAGCTACTGTATTTACACATTGTATCAGTTCTGTACAGATGCACCTGTATAGACTGTAATCTGTACTGAAGCATGCAGTGGTACAGTGCCACATACAGAGTGCATGTACCGTATTTCTAAGGAAATAAGTAAAAGAGCATTATAATTGGCTGTGATATATTTGATTTCACCCTGGAGATCAGACCACTGCAGACACTCCTAAATTCAAGGGGCCCTGGGGACTGGTGCTGGACTAGGATGGGAACTACGAGGTAGGAGAGAGGGTCTGCTTGAACCTAAGAATATCAGATCTCAGCAGAAGAGACCCCAGCCCAGCTTGCACTGGGCGGGGTCCCATGGTGGGGGGCACCTGGAGACAGTCCAGGAAGCAGGCAGCTCAGCCCATCCGGCACCGGGAGGGAGGGGTGGGAGCCAGGGCCTGCAGGGGGGCAGCAGTGGGGGCAGGGAGGGAGGAGGTATTATTCTGGAGCTGAGGGCAGCAATTACATAACAAACAAACCCCGGCTCAAGCTGTGAATTAATCAAACCGCTGAAAATAAAACCTTCCTCTCAGGAACTTCAGACAAAAGAAATGAAAACAACCAGGCTGGCTGGAAAATAAAAGGCAGCAGTGCTGAAAGGGGGACAAAGGAAACCAGACAATAGGGTGTTGGACAAAAGCAATAAAGCCAAAGGAAGTGTGACAGGCGCACAATGAGGGCCTGTGGGCTTCTGATCCCTGCCGGCTCCGAGCCACCTCATCCCACACCCACGGCGGCCACCAGGTCACCTCCTCTATCCAGACTTGGGTCCTAAGGGCTTTTCTCCTTCATTCTGCCTAACCTCCCGGCCTTCCAGCTCTTGCTTCAAAGCCTTTCTCCCCACTGCACCCAGAGACCCCAGCAGCAGTGGGATACCAGGTGAATGGTCAGGTGAATGGGCACGAAGGCTGAAGGCCACCCGGCTGGAGATGGTGACCGCCATCCATCCCCCTGCTGCGTGCAGAGAGAGGTGGCAGAGGGGAGCATCTGTCCTGATTAACCCTAGGACCACACTGCTGAAGACCAGCGCCACTGTCCACATGTGGCTACCGAGCACCTGGAATGCGGCCAGTCCTGGCGGAAATGTGCTCTGCATGTCAAACACACCCAAGGTTCCGAGGGCTCAGTACACAGGGCAGAACATAAACCAGCCATTCATAATTGGTGTCAATTACAAATTGAAATTAGATTTTGGATGGGTTGGGTTAGCTAAAACACATTTTAATTTTTTTTTGTGGTTTTTTTTATTTTTTAAGAGAACAGATGTTGCAATTTTAATTGATTCATCACAAAATCACTGACCAAACAAGTAACATTAATAAAAATTAATAAAATATTTTAAATAATTGAAAAAACAGCAGTGCAGAAAATAGCATTCAAGTGGCTAAAACAAATTTTAAAAATTAATTTCACCAGTCTTTTCATACTTTCTTTCTTTTGGCACTTCAAGGGATTGAACCCAGGACCTAACACAAGCTAGACAAACAGTCTACCACTGAACTACACCCACAGCTCTCTTTTCACACTTTTTAATGTAGCTGCTGAAGAGCTTAAATTACACAGGCGGGCACCCACACATTTCTGTTGGACAGCATGGCACTAGGACATCTCCTGCCCTTGAGCTTCCACGGCCTTTTCCACCCACCCCGCACACCCAACAGTACCTGCAGCTGACACTATGGGTTTGGGTTATCTCTGTATTAGGGAGCAGTTCCTGGGGCCCCCAATGCCTCAGCCTGGCCTCCAGCACAGCCCTGGTAGCAAAGAAAATAGTCCTGGTGGCTCGGAGGGGTCTATTTACCCCTCTTGGTGCCTACCAGGTAACCCCACCAGTCTAAGGCCTGACCATGCCTACTGGCATCTGGCTGACTTGCAGGCCTTGGGCGAATCCCTTAGTTGGTCTCCCCTGGACCCATTTGTGCAGAGAGAGTGGCACAGCCCAGGACTGGGGCCCCACCTAGACAGCACCTCCCTGAGTCTCACCTTT